GTCTCTTGAAATATCTTCTAGTTTGTTCCAAACGTTTTTCTCACCCATTGTAAACTGATTTATCTTCTTTGAGTAACCAAATACGAATTGAAGTAGTGTTCTCCCCATTCACAATGACTAAAGTTGATATGAAAGCTATTAGTGCTAGTTATTTGTTTCCACTTGAATTAGCCGTTCGCTGCGTTCTATGGATTAATGAGTAGTAATTCTCTCTATCAGATAAGCTTGATTGTAAGGACCTTGATGGGATTAATTTGAACATGAAGATATCTGAGAATATTCATGAGCGCAGTTAATGTGCCTTTCATTTTCCATTTTTTGTTTGGAAAACTAGAGTTTTATATTTTTGAGCTCATATTATTCAATATAATTTTCAGTCAAACTATTAACTCATTACAATAAATGACTAACTTGACATTAACTCTTGTATACAGTATTAATTGAACTCCAAGAATTGGGTTCATAAATGAAACCCAAAATAATAAGCATGTGTGACGTATATGTCTCCCATGTATTTACATGAATACAGAACTTTTGTTGTTACTCAAAGACTACCATGTTTACCAATTATCTCATCAATATATGTCACAGTTTGAATTATAATGTGATTTCGTTCAACTAATTGTTTTGAGGGCGTCCTCTCTAACAAAAGATTGTTGCATTGTAACTCGTTAACATGGTTTCATTAGTTACAGGAAACAATATGCTGGAAACTATGTTCACTTCATTAGATAATTGACATTGTGAAGCTGTAACATATTTTATGTTCAATGGCTTTGCTTTCACTTGACATTTCCTTTGGTTTCTTATTCTCATGTTTGAAGCATAGTGAACAATTAAATAAACAATGTTGGTGCTGCCTTTTCTTTTGTGCAGGAACTTCTGCTTCCTCTGACAATAACTGCAACAAATTTTGAAAAACTTAGGCGCTGGGAGGAGCCGCACTTGACTGTTTCTTTTCTTGCATTTGCGTATACAGTCATTTTCAGGTAGGTCCAATTCTGGAAGAGTTATTGTTGAGAAGAGATCCCTCTCTGGGAATGTAAATCCTTGTGTTGCAATATATGATGTCTTAGGCGTTTCAACTCATTACCAATGGTTTTGTGTTAGATGCTCTATCAGAGCATGCAATCCACATTTAGGCCCATCAGACACACGTGTTCCCACATACCCAATATAGGTTGTCTAAGTGTATGGCTCAACTCATGCCACACGTTAGGGGTGTGTTGAGAACTTGAGTATATCCCACATCAGGATTGTAAAGTCTTGCATTGCAATATATAATATTGCCAATTGGTTTTTGGTTGGAAGTTCTGATTCCTTCAGTTACGGTATATGTTTCCCCTAAAAAGTTGAGAAATGGATATGGTTTTCTTGCTTTTAAAAGAGAGTGATATATATTCTTTACATGACCTTTGGCAAAGGGATGTCTGATGACTATGGTTTTGTAAAATTTTCCTTAAATATATCCTTGTGTCTTGGATATTCAGAGCTTTTCATTTGGTTTTGATTGCAGTTTGAACTTTTTAAGTGTTTTCTTCTAAATGGGGCCCAAGTTCATATCTCCCCTCTGACAATTGATATAACTGATCAATTGCTTATTTCTAAATATGTTTGAGAACTGAATCTGTTTCTAGAGGCAATGTGATCACTACCAATTTGTTCATATATTCCTCATCCTAGGAAATATGAAGGCAATGTTTTTGTCTCCCTTTCCTTTTCTTTATGCAACTATGCATGTTTTTGGGTAATGTTTATTACAATTTATATTACTATATTGTGTGGAGTTTCCCACTAAGAGCTTTCTTGTAAAATATATAGGGCAGTCTTCTCTATCTAAGAGCTTTCTCCCTCTTTTGAGCTGGGCAATTCATTAATATGTTGCCCAATTTAGCTACACTTTCTCCATGTCACCTAATATAATTGATCCATGTGTTGTGCTTAGTGTGGCCACACTTCAGGAGACGTCTCGAGTATGTAAAATTCCACATCACTCATTCTAAATCTTGCCTCTCAGATATAAGTTTTGAACCCCTTCATCCATTGCCAATTAGTTTTGAGTTTACTACTCTAATTTTGACTTGGTATCGTGTAGTATCTCTTATCATATAAATTCATTGTATGGGTGAAGGGGCAGTCGTTGATAAAACCCTAAACGTATTTTTTAAAGTCTACCTCTTATCTTTCTTCCTTCACCCTAACCGACTATTAGAGTACTCATATCAACTTGTTTGTATGCATTCTAAGTGGTACCTCTGAATTTCTACACTCTGATTTTACTTTGAGCTAATCTCTTGAGATGCTTTGCCAGGAATTTACTCTCATATGCATTCCCAATAGCATTGATGATTTTGGCAGCTGTAATGCTGACACTGAAGGGGCTAAAGGAGCAAGGCCGCCTTGGACGATCATTTGGAAAAGTTACTATCCGTGATCAACCTCCTTCAAATACCATTGAAAAAATTATAGCCGTAAAAGATGGCATGCGTGATGTGGAAAGTTATTTACAGAATCTGAATGTCACTCTTCTGAAAATACATACAATTATCCTTTCTGGCCAGCCTCAGGTATGCATTGATTATTTACATGTGCAATTATGAAACTCGTAAACTATTTCCTTAAATCTCTCTCTGCTGCTTTGATGTTGTTTAGTGTGACCTTTCAACAAAGCATATTGTCACTCAATATATATATAAACATATCAGAAGTTCCCCGTGCAGGATTTCCTGTCTTCTACTCAATTTCTTCGAATTCAGTCCCATTTATTGACACAGTATTTAGGGTATAGAATGGTCGTTAGGAGCTTCGACTTTTAGGTTTTAAGTATCAAATTTTGTGCTTGATACTTAAAACCTAAACTCGAAGCGATTAACCAATCCGAGACTAGAAACCTCAAGTCTAGTGTAAATGATGATTTTACAGCCTAAATAATCAACCACGTCAATAAATGTGATCAAAGTTGAAGAAAACAGAGTAGAAGTGAGGTTTTCTCAACCCCTCCTGCACAGAGTCGGACTGATACACGTATAAATTGTGTTTGGGACATAAAAGAATGAAATTAGTTCAGTTTTCAGTTTTACTTCAGGCTTATCAGTAACAATCATATTGATTTAAACATTTATCAGATAACCACTGAGGTTGCACTGGTGTTGTTATCTTCTGCAACGATTCTCCTCATATTCCCATTCAAATATGTTCTTGCCTTTCTTATCTTCGATCTGTTCACACGGGAGCTTGAGTTCAGGAGGGAAATGGTTACAAGGTTTATGAATTTTTTGAAGGAGCGCTGGGACACAGTGCCTGCTGCCCCTGTAGTTGTATTACCTTTTGGAAGTGATGGGCCCATACCAGAACCTGTTAGAAAGGAAAACAAGGACGCATCAAAGTCAGAAAGAAGTCAGAGCAGCAGCAGTTCTGTTTAGATTCTTATTGGCATATATGTGGCAGTTTCATAGGTTGAAATTTAGTAATACCTCAGTTATGGAGAAAGAAAACATGACCAAAATGTTCTGATTCCATTATTTGTACAGAAATTGGAAACACATTTAGTGTCAATGTAATCCTTCTTCATTTAACTGGATTGTTTGATTTGATTACTTAATGGCTCTGACTAAATCAATCCAGAACCTATTCAAGAAAGAAACAAGAGAGAGTGCACTTAGTGCACTGAGGAGGATTTAGGTTGTTTGCTCCAGTACATACAGGTTAAGAGAACTGTCAGATTCTAGCTTGTTTGGATCTCATCCAGGTGAAACCTGTATAAGGTATTTTGTTTTGCACTGTTTCCGTTTCCAGTTTGGTAAGTTGCAATGTGGTTATGTTCAGAGAGGTGCATCATGCATTTGCCGTCTCATGCATACATGCATATGCGCATGTACGAACACATGTTCATGGGTGGAGAAAGAGCGACCTATGTAGCAACATGTGTGTACTTTTGCCCCCTGACAGCACGACTGAATCTGGGTTTTCCATATAATTGAATGGTTCCACTAAAATCACAAGCATTTTGCATAGTTTTGCCATTTCAATTGGAAACCCTTTTTTTTTGGGTAGATAATGCTTAAAATGTTTGTCATGGCTGCAACTGTGTTTATTCACATAATGTGGTTGCAAATGTCATAGTAAGCAAAGCTTTTGGTAATTTAGATTTATGTAGGCTGCAATTTTAAGTTCATGATAATACAAAATCATACTAGTAGTACATGTTATTGGGACAGAGTGTAAATTAGTGGGAAGGGCATTTGCATGAGCATAATTTATTCAGGCTTCAGGACCCAATCATGGTTGATGGTTGCTAGTTTCAATTTTGGAACATTTGGTTGTTTAGGCTTTGCCATGGAAACACTGAAATCCAGTCGGATTTTGGTCTATTTGTTTATATTCATTGTTGACAAGTTCTGTATACCAATTTGTTGTAGCAATATAACAAGGTAAAATACATGCACTTGGAAAACTTTGTATTCTCCTTGCACTTGTGAAGTAAGCTCAATAGAAAATACTGGAGGAGGAAATAATGTGAAATAAATACAGCTACAAAGTACGAACTGTGAAGAATCTGCTAAAACATGGACTGGAAGCTGAGAATCAAGGGGAATGCGAGTATCAATGACCACCATCTTTGAGAGAGTGCTTTTAATTCCTTTGATCCATTGCAAACAAGCTGCTTATCATGATAAGAGCACACCGTTTGGTTCCTAAGCCCAATTTTGACAAGTTAATTAGAATTGTTAATGCATCTGATAAATCCTATTAACTGTTAGATTTTCATCCGGATTAGAATTCGGTAAGTGCATTAAGGTCAGTGTGTCAAAGAAACCCAAAAGTTCATTTGGTTTAAATGTGATCTTACCTTGATGCGCAGAAGGTGACAATGAAGTCTGCACCAGAGCATGTTATAATACTGGTAGGGTCATCATATGCAAAACTATATGCTGCAGGGCAAGCTTGTTTAAAACTCCTTGAATAATTAGTAGGTAGACATGTCTGAGGGTTTCCAAATGTTATAATACGGTGTTGAACACGTTGCATGCACTCCGGCAAGCAATGACTTTTCCTTCGGCCTTAGCCGCGAGCTCTGATGGGCAGCTCTGCCTCAAGTCCCTATCACAACCAGCAGTGCTGCAATTGCCTTTACCACTGTTAGTAGGTTTAACAATTACAGGCAAATTAAAGCCATCCACCAGGCTAACATCATAGTAATCAATCTCCTGGCCGAGTGTAAATTCGGCAATTGAGGCAGGTGGGCTGCCGGGGCCTGTACAGTTGATGGTGGTGCCGCAGCTACCTGTTTGGCATTTGCCATTGCCATTCTTGTCAAAACTGCAGCCGGTTCGAGCCCATATTCGACCATTCCAGTCAGCTGGAGCTGTATAAACTGTAGACTGGCCTTGATTCAATGTAAAACCACTGCCACTGAAGTTTTCACTGTGTGTTATGCCAGGCCATATTGTCTCCTTGCACTCATTTACTATGGTGAAGATCTTTGCACTTGCATATAACTTAGCCCCTAACCCACAATTCAACAAAATGTCCAACAAGTTTTGTAAGCCTAAAAGTTCAATAATTTGCCATTTGAAAAATTACAACTCAAGAATTTTCCTTTTTTGTAATTTTGTTTTTGAAATGTAAGCATAAGAATGCTGCATGCTATTATGATGCAAGTGCAAAGTTAAATGTGAATTTTGAAACATACAGCAAGACCAATAACTCAAAAGAAAAAACTAAACTAAACTAGGCAAGAGAAGGGACATATATATTACCGCATGCTATTAGAATGGTGATGAACAAGGATCTAAGAAGGGCATTGGGATGGTAAGCCATCTTTTAGTTCCTCTCTGGTTAGCTCACTGACACTGACAGTACAATTGTATTTGAAGTGAACTAAGGAAAGAATACGTGTGGAAGAGAGTGAATCCCCAACTAGTGACAGCCCAAAAGGCTTGCTTATTCTGTCATATGATACCTTGCCTCAACTCAATGCCATATACTGACTTTTATTTTATACAAGCGATACTAGGGAGGGGGGAATCGAACCTAAGACCTCAAGTGTAAAGGTAAATGCTTTTAATCACTTCAGTTACAAGTCCCTTGTTTTTCCCTTATGTTTTAAATTTCTTTTCCATTGGAAAAAGCCAACTTGGAGCAGGTCTTAGGATCAAAATTTCTCTGGCTATATCCAAAAAAATATCACTTTATTAAATATTGTTGTTTTAAGGGCCGGCCCTGGGCCTGGGCCGCGACATTATATATATATATATATATATATATATATACACTGTAAATAATATATATAATATAATATAGTATTATATATATAGTTCATGCTCATATTAAAAGGATTTGAGTGTTTAAAGGCCCAAATAACAATCACTTTAAATCTTTAACAACATAAGGCCCATATTTACAATTTAAACGTTATAAAATTATTATTTTGTTTTAAAACAACAAACATCCAATTAATCCAAACACTTCTTTGAAGAAAATGTTTTTTTTAAGAGAACCGAAAAAGGGAAGCTTTATTGATGAAACAAAGAATTACAATCGGTGGACAAAACGCCTGACCCTGACTCAAAGAATCACTTAATAGGGTGTCCTGAATAAAATCAAGGGGCACTTCAAACCAAATAAAGTTGTTCACATTACGCAAACCAAATCGAGCAAGTTGGTGTGCAACATCATTTGCTTCCTTACGAGTAAATTGAAAAAGAGAGCCAGAAATATGTTTATGTAGATGCTTTACATCTTCAACAATGGTACCAACATTTGAATAATTCTGGCCTGCTCGCTTTACGGTTGCAACCACCACAACAGTGTCTCCTTCAAAGATGAGAGATGCAATCCCAAGTGAGAGAGCAAGCGCCACCCCTTCACGAGCCGCATGCATGTTCAGCCAACATCACTTCCCCCAACTAATTTCTCCATTGCAGCCACAAAACCTCTATCCGCGTCTCTAGCAACAACCCAAACAACCCCTCTACTACCCGAAGTAGGATCAAACGCTCCATCAAGGTTGAGTTCGAGGTGGCTTGACGATGGTGTTGCCCATCTAATAGCATCCCACACTCGATTAGTTACTTTGAATAGAGTGTCATTTACCGTAATAAATTCATGCACATATTGTTGAGCAAAAATCACAACATCATGTGGAGATTGTTTACTCCCTTCAATAAATGTTTAGTTCTTCTAGTTTGATAACTTTTTTGTTCTCAACTATTTTATGAATTTTTATTTTTATTTTTATTTTTTTTATGTTTTATGATTCATGTTCTTTTGTTATTTTAGTTTACTAGAATTACCATAATTAAGCCAAATATATATATATATATATATATATACGTGCACATGTGCATAATTTTTTTTTCTTGTTAAACTATATACAAAGAAAAAGAGGTCTCATTTTAATTTATGCCCCTAGGCCACCCAAAAGTCAAGCCGACCCTGATTGTAGCATGTTGTGGATTAGAACAAAAGCTCTATTATCATCTGAAATGAAATAGGCTTTAGAATAATGCTCTTAAATCATGCAAATTTGTGACTAGCATAACACCAGACAAAGATGAGTTTACACAACGTAACAGTCACAATATCCAATTAACTATAACTATATATGACTTGTGAGTATAAGGATTTTAATCCATGGCAATTAATAAAAGGATTGGGTCAATCAGTTGGCCTGGCCCGGCCCTACACAAACCCTAATTCCTTTCTCAAGACATATAGGTTTTCCAAGGAATTCAAGGCGTACATTAGAATCCTTTGCTTGATTCTTAGACTTTGAGCCTTCCGTGGCTTGAATCTTCGAGGTTTGATAACAGCTCTGCAAGTTCCGACACTGGTATCAATTTCCAATTGAGATCCTTATCATTTTGAAGGTGTTGTTATCATTTGTAGTGCAGGTTCTGACCCTCTTTTCCGATTGTTATTACATTTTGCAGACCTTTTGAGGCATAGAAAAGAACCTATATTAAAAAAATTCCCCATTCAATGCACAATGGTTTGATTAGAAATCCGGTTTCTTGGCTCATAAGTTAATTGTATTCATTCAAGTATATTAGGGTTTTACACTACTCATATTGGCACACTCACAATTTAACTTAATCTTTATCCTATTTCTGAGGTTTGAAGATTGGGGGGTAAACACTATCTTAGAACTTTTGCTTTTGGTTTTTGCTGAGTTCATCAATGACTTCACAAGGTATATGTACCTTCATGTGTTTATGATACGTACAGAGAACATGTATTTATGGTACAGAGGATGTGTTTACAATTATTTGGACCGGTTTATTGATGGTTAGCCTGAACTCAGACCAAGCTTTAAATATTCTCACCAAACATTTACAATTCAAGTTTAGCCTTCTTTTTCCGTTCTGTTTTAGTCTTACATGTGGTATTAGAACACTCATATACATTTAAAGGTCGACAACATAATCAAATCATGAACATGATAAACCTTAGTTTTTGCCCCACATGCATTTTGCCATGCTCGATGTTTTGATGGTTAATTTGTATTCTAATTACACAATATTTCATGTATAGGGGTATTAGTGTTTTTTTTTAGTACAAACAAGGGGTTTACACAAATATTCATTGGATGCATGAATTGGTCCCTTGTTTACAAAACGAGGGATTTATGAATTTTTGTTTTGTTTTGTTTTGTATTTCCTCTCAGTTGGAATATAAATTATTAACTTTTGAGTCTTTAATAGTGTAGATGATGAGATTAATATTCAACCATTTTATAATATAAAATTAAAGGACAATTATGATTGTAATGAATGGATAAATTATTAATCAATATGAAATGATATTATGAAGTGGGCTAAACCGAGTAGTTAGTATCGTATTAACTTATTAACTGGTTAGCGCTTGAGCGCCCCTATTCGAATTATTTTATAAATTTTTGTGAAGAGCCCCACTAATGCAAAATCCTGGCTCCGCCACTGGCCCTAGGCATTGTGGGTTGTCTTTGTCAAATTTATTAGAGGGTGGTGGGCGGCCTCTACTGAACAAATAAGCGAAAAATAACTATTTTGAAAAAGAACAATTGGGTGATTTGCAGCAACCTCCGTCAAAGATGATGTAAACCTAAAGGGACACCCTTGTGGACTTATTCACTACCCCAAAAGAAAAAGGTGAGGAGAGAGGAGGGGACGAGGGGCAATGACGCTTCTTCCTCCTGCCTGCTTTGTGAAGTTATTCTTTGGGATTCGCACAAGGAGAAAGCGGCTAGATCAATAGCCCTACTTAACTTTATTGGTCAAGATTTTTAGTTTAATTTCGAGGATAACGTATGATTAATGATGAAAGTGTCCTCTTTCAACAAAATTGTAACACATAATTCGTAATTAGAAATTACTAGGCTTGTTCAAACAGAGGCCTTTAAAAAAAAAAGAAGCAAAGATAGTATTTTATTGAAAGTTAAACAAATTACGTATTTTAATTTAACGATATGAACCGTTTATTTTTTAAGTTTTTATTTATAGGTTATCCTTGCAAAAGATTAGACAAATTAAGACATCTAATTATGACCAACAAAATTGACTAACACAATAAAATACTAAAATGACAATCATTATTAATTGAGTGATCAAATGGTTTCGGATTCAAAATGATTTTTTGCAGAAAAATCCTGGAAGGAATGCCTAAAAGATAGATAGTTCGGATCATTGAAATAGAATACAAAGTGACCCAATAAGAGTATTCCTTATTTGAGGGATTCGTAAACTAAAGCCAACTTCTAACAATCGTTTGTGTAAACAAAAATATTGCTGTGAGTATCTTATTGTGGAACTAATAGATGCTATCTTTACGATTTTTACCCCCAACTAAGCTTGAAAACTCAGGACCATTTGGTTAATGCCTAAAAACAAGCATGTAGATCTCCACGACTTATTAAAGGAGTTAGCAGGAAAACAAAAAAGAAACGGGATATAGTCAGGACTGATAATGAGGCCGGCCGTAAAATCATCAAAGCCATTAGCTGCAGCTGCCTACTCCTCGATCACCAACCAACAACATTTAAGTCGATACCCCTCTTGCACTGCAGCCTGATAGATACCCAACAAAAACAAAAACAAAACCATTTTATTGATAATCAACTCATCATTCAATTCAATCGTTGTTTGAAATGGATCTCTGATGCATGCATGTGCTTTTCTGCCATGTATTACATATATGTGTATAGCTAATATATATAACCATATCCCTACCAAATATAATGCAAGTACTCTATTTATGTTTTTCCTTCTGGTCTTTCTTCTCTTTACCCAACACCTACTAAATAGTAAATAGTGCAAGTACTATCATTACATCATTCAAATAAAAATGTGTCTAAATATATATATATATATATATATAGTCCCCTTTTATTGATAAATTCCTCAACTATTATTTGAGGGATACCCTTTAGGGTCATCTACAAAAAAAAAATTCAACGATCTGAACCATCTATTTTTAAAGCCTACATTCATAGATAATCTTTGCAAAAACTTAGACAAATCGGAAACCATTTCGACATCCAATTCTGTCCTACAAAAAAGTATTAAAATTTCAATAACTCAATTGAGTGGTCAAATGATATCATATTCAAGTTTTTTTTTTATTTTTTATTTTATTTTGGTAGAGATGATCTTTGAATAATTATCTAAAAAGTAGATGGTTTGAGTTTGTGAAATACAATGTGGAATAGGCCCGACAAGGGTGTCCCTCAAATAAGTTTATTTGAAGGATCCCTCCCTCAATGGAAGAATGAAAGCTCTCAGAGAGAGAGAGAGAGAGATATATATATATATATATATATATGTACTGGTTTCAAAGAACAGTCTTCAGAAAGCAAATGAGTAAGAGAGAAGGTTGGAGTGATGGTGGTAGCTAGAGGTAATAAGTGACAGTTATGAACTTATGACTTAGCTAGAGGTAAAAGTGTAGCGATGCATATAATTTTAATTTTATTTATATCTTTTGCTTAATTACAAAAGTAAATTGCTACGCTAAAAATCGCTTGAAAGAGATGAAAAACAAATGAATATATGCAATCACTGACAAACCAAACGTGTGAGATACATTGTTTTTGCACATGGTGAGAGTATCTGAACCTTTGATGCTCGAGTCTTTTACAACTTTCCCTACAAAATTAAATTGGTGGCACTTCTATCTTTTTCTTAATTTATATTTTGTGTCGGATTCTACCTATATATTTTGAAGCATTAATTTTCTTGAGGGACAAGAATATCATAAAGTATTCATTGGACAACAGTGCGATTTTGAGAGTTACGTGCAAAATTTAAGTTGGACACTCACATTATTTAACATGAAAATATTAAAACTCAAACTACCATGAATTGATGTCATAAACAATATAAGTATAATGAGCAAAATTATCTTTCATTAAGACATGAATGGTCTAGTGGTAAGGAGTGTTAATGTTGTATGATTGCTCATGGGTTCACTGATGCTCTGTGCAATCCTCAAAATTGGGGATCTTGTGTGGTAACACCACCTGCACATCCTCAAAGCCGCCCTTATATATCCATTAGGGACGGAGCTCGAAGAAGTTCTGAGTTTGTGAGGGGAATGGACATTGCCTACGTTCTGACCCCTGCCCACCAATAAACTCATGGAATAATGAGTGGTGATGGTGTACCGTATATAGTTAGCAATTATTAAACTCAAAAATAAAATAAAAAATAAAGTCAAAGAATTTGGCTCCTCTCTACATGTCTTGGCATTACTTAATGTTTATCCTTGTAGTACTATTATAAATTTATAATCTAACCTTTAATTTGTTTTAATATAAATTTGACGATGCGAATAAATGAACTTAATTCTGATTATTGTAATTAATCTTCTGAGAGGACGTTCTAAATAACATCAAAGGCACTTCAAACCACACAAAACTATTCCTAATAGTTGCATACCAAACAGCACAGATTTCAAATTTAACTTTCAGTTTTGGTTAAAGAAATATAAAGCACCAATCACATCACATGTGTTTAATGATATAGCTGGCCATAAGGACCCATCGTATGAACAATTGATATCATATATATGTTCGGAACTAGGATTGTATGTGTGGAGGGGCCGAATTAATAAACTTGATTCTGATTATTGTAATTAATCTTCTGAGAGGACGTCCTAAATAATATCAAAGGCACTTCAAACCACACAAAACTATTCCTAATAGTTGCATACCAACCAGCAAAGATTTCAAATTTAACTTTCAGTTTTGGTTAAAGAAATATAAAGCACCAATCACATCACATGTGTTTAATGATATAGCTGGCCATAAGGACCCATCGTATGAACAATTGATATCATATATGTTCGGAACTAGGATTGTATGTGTGGAGGGGCCGAATTAATAACAAGAGTTTTTGAAAGGAAAATTCAATTTTACAACAGTAAATAATAGACTAAAAAAAGGACGTTGGTCTTGAATATGGAGCTTTTAATAGACTGATATGGCTGTACATTCGCTTTTTATTTTCAAATAAAAATTTACTATATAATTGTTAATAAAATTATTATGAAGTGACAACTATAGGGTTTGCATTTAACCACATACTAGTAATTGCATTGGGGTATTGAACAAAAACAAAGTAATTGCATTGGGGGGTTTTATGGTTTATCCTTCCTCAAAATATGATCCGCAACCTATACTACAGTGTATGGCAGGCCCAGCTTGGCTCTGTCCCCTGTGTGCGCAATTAACACTTGACTTACCACAAAAGGACTGCGTTCCAAGAAAAGGGATGCATGTCTCTTTGCATCTTATGACTTCCAAACCTTCATATAAACTCAACAAATTAAAACACAAGCCAAAGAGGTCTAATCCGGTGAAAAATGATCAGCGATCTCATATTTGAATTCCTATGACACCTAAGTACTTTGGTAGTGTGTAAGAAAATCCACCTCCCCTTCCTAACTAGACAAAAAAAAAAAAAAAAAAAAAAAACAAAAAACAAATAAAAATAAAAATAAAAGCAAAATGAGGTGTTAACCACTTTCTTAATTATATACTACTACCTATGGCAAATATGATGCTGACAAAAAAATATGGCAACTATATATATACTACTAATATGCCAACAATAATACTAATAAAATATATTCTTATAACAGAGAAGAAGATCTGTGATTCAACACACTTCACTATTAACTAAAAAAATTACTCAAATATGAAAATTAATAGAAAGCAATTAATTGATGCATTATAAATCAATAACACAAAATACATTCAAGGGAACTACTTGATCTCTTGAGTACTGATCAAATATGGATCGTAATTAGCTGTAGATTTGTCCACATCATCATCATCATGATCACAAATCCTTCTTGGAGCTGCCATAACTCTTAGCATGGAAGTCCATGAACAAAGCCAAAAGAGAAACATAGAAAAAAATATTGAAGCACCATCCCCAGATCCCGCAGCAACCCGACCCGTTGAAGTGATAGATGAGCATCCAAACCAACCCCACGAAGCTTGACATGAACTGAAATATTTGAAACTCGGTGACCCTCCTCTTCCACTTAGGCCTCACCCCAAGCGCAGCCAGCAAGTAGTAGGTGTACATCACCACGTGCACCGTGGCGTTTGCTACGATCACCGCCGGGAACAGAGACTGTGAGGTGTGGAGCCAAATGTAGCACATGACCAGCACCATTGTGTGGTGGTACACATGGAGGAATGTCAGCCGTTGAAAGGACCCACTAAGGATGATCAAGAAGGTGTCCACAAACTCGTAGATTTTGGAGAGGTAGAAGATATAGGCCCAGAAGAAGAGAGGCCCCGTTGGTGGGGTTTTGGGTGGGAAGCAGATGATCCAGAAAGGGTAAGGTGCGTAGGAGAAGATGGAGACCAGGGAACCAACGGCCATGATGAGGGAGAGGAGGAGGAGGTTGAGGTTGTGGACGGCGGTGATGGGTTTGAGGCGGCGGGGTTTGATAAGTGGGAGAGGGAGGTGGGAGAGGAGGAAAGTGAGGGTGAGGTAGAAGATGATAGTTAGGGATAAGAAGAGTGGGCTTGAGGCCGGGGTTTCACTAGGGCTCCATGAGAAGTGCAGGATGGCTGGGTGCTTCACAAGCCAATACTGAAAGGTATTTGAGATGTTGAGGTTCATGTTGAGGTCCATGGTGAACGGGGAGGCTCAGGAGCCGTTTCTCGGTTGTCAAACAAAGGTTTAGCCGACGCCGGAAGGCCAAACAGGTAAACGGGCAAACGGGAAGGGAGATTCTTGAGAATTTTTTTAAGTGAAAGCTATGGGAGAGAAGAGATGGTGTGTGTGTGTTGAAGTGCGGGAAGCATAGGACTGGTGTTGGGGATTTCTAAGAAACCAAAATTTAACCATCTTTGGGTCAAGTGGGACCCACAAAAGCAGGTGGCAGCTCTGCAAGCTGGCTGCAGTAAAAGAAGTAAAACCCTGAACCAACGCCCATCTCTGATCTCCATTTATTTCTGTGTGATAAATTAAAAACCCTAACTATAACCAGATTTCTACCACGTATGAGATAAATGGGCTTGAGGAGGAAGTCGCTAGACATTTTCAAATTCTGCGTAATGATGGATCGACCTTCCATCTTCAATGAGTTTGGAGTCTCACTTGCACATATGAATACAAATTCGCGCACATCTTTTATATGTAAATTTATAGTCGTACGTACCTTTTATTTACTTCTTCTTTTGTGAAAAATTTGATTTTAGCCATCGATGTCTATTTCTTCTCGTCGTCCTTCTCAAGTTCAGATTTCTGTCGTGCCGCCCATCTATCATATCACTCTCACCAATTCAAAGTCACTAACACAAATTCATTACAAAAGTCCGGTCAGTCAGTGTCATCACATGCAGTGTGTTCTTCTCAAGTGTAGTCCAATCCAGAAGTCAATATCTTCCACTTCTAGCCTTAGTTCGACGCTTTATTTATTCATATGGGGGGTTGATGATCTATGTATGTACTTTTTACCATCAAGATTCAATCGTCGAATTCATGAACTTATATCCTTTTGAACTCCAATTGGAAGGCCCTTCAATTTTGCATCACAAAGTTTATAATCTAGGATGAATAGAGGTGGCAATCAAGTTGTATTGGATCTTGTTCGAGTATGTTGTGTCATTAATTTCTGTTTCTTGGCGAGTATTTAGTCAAAGATTAGTCACAACAACATATATAATAGCGCAACTCCACTGTCCTGAGTAGATGCATCGCCTAAAACCTACCGAGCAGACTGTAAGTCTACCGTCCACCGAGCATTATGTGTATGATTTGTTATGTCTCTAATGGTTAGGGCTTTTATCAAGAATGGAGGGTGAGAAGAGTGAGAGTAGATTTGAGAGCTTGGGGAAGATGACGATTGACAAACTTATACACAAGCTTCTATCTCATAACCCTGCATTTAAACCACCTCGTCAACCAAACTTTTAGTGACTGCGAACCACGCAAATATGAGTATCATTTTTATGCTCATGTGGACTCTACTAAAAATTAATAGTAGAAAATAATATTTAAAAACACATGCAATTAAAAGTAATAATATGAGTAAAAACACAAACAAGGACCATGAGGTTAAAAGTAATTTTGAGTAATATAATAAACTTCATGGTCCTTGAATGTGTTGAAATTAAAAGTAATTTTGGGTAAAAACGCATGCACCAAAAAAATGGTTTACCCTTGTAAGAAACATATGTGACTCATGATCATTCATGACAATAAAAATCATCTAGATGCTTTGATGCAGACAGATTAGTCCTTTGGTATACTTGGGCTATTGGGATAGACTACATACATGAAGAAAGTGTTCATGCATTTGGAATAAATACTTGTTCGTGCATTTTGGGATTATTATCTAGATCAGGTTCATGATATATTTATCTATAATAAATAAGGGGATTTGGTTCAATGTTAGGGATATCTTCCTTATATGTATAAATAGTTGTTAGTTTAAGAGCATCTCTAACGGTCTCTTCAATAGCTTTGAAATGCTAAAATAGGTGAGCCACATAATCAATCAAAACTCTCTCCAACAGCCTTGTCAAACTCAGTCACCAAAGCTGCAACTTCTTTCTCTCTCTTTAGTACTGGTAAGTTAATCTTGGCTATTCAAAACTTTAATTTTACTTTGGAAAAATAAAACCTACCTTGAAAATGTAAAAACATGTGCAATTTTTCTTTTCAAACAATAAATATATAGACATTTAAAACATGTTTTCATATTCTTTTTATTCTTTTTCATAACATTGCATTAATTGAATTGAAGAGTCTGCTAGGACACAAAATATTCTTAGAATCAACAAAGCTTGGAAAATCTACACTCTCTCCTTATTATGAGTATTCTTAGAATTAGCAGAGCTTGGAAGTTTATTTCAACGTGTATCTTTTCGTTTTGCTCAAAGTGCCGTGCTGCATAATGTTTTATACAAAATCAAAATTTGTCTGCAAACGTTCAAATGTTTTTAGCATTTTCATGTTTAATAACCGATAAATAGTACTTAATTGTAATATTGTCTGCTTTCCACAGAATAATTAATTTGTTAAACGAATTTTTAGTTATAACTCAAACTGTTGACAAAATTGTTAATCACTTTGAGCTAAAATGGCCTTTTCATTCAATGTACTAAGAAGTGGAAGTGGAGATGATGAGTTTGATTTCCTTATTTGTTGAGTGTGTGTGTGTGTGAGTAAACTATAGTCAAAATCTTTAAATTCATGCATTCATGAGCCATGAGCTGAATGCCAGTAGTAGATGATATAGCTAGCTACCGAAGCTTCAAACTGTTGCTTTCTTTGAATCATATACATAGATATATAATTAATGGAGGTTGATATGGTTGGTTTGGTTTTAAATTTTATCGAAAACATCACGAAATAAAATAAAACATATCATGAGTGGTTTCATTACTAGTAACATCGATGCACATTTTGTATGATTACAATAGTTAAATTGGAGACAATATCCGTGTTAGTAATCAGCCACCGGTCCATGAAGCTTTGAAGTAGCTAGGTCTACGCTCTTATCAATTAAAGGATATAAGTGGGAGCATGTGATGGTCACAATCCATTTGAATGGAGCCCATTATGTGTGAATTCACTTGTCTTCAATGTTTGACCATCGCATATGGTTCATGAATTAAGGTTATTGGGCAGCTCCACATTTAAGCTTCTCCATATTGTCCTGTTGGTAACCAGGAATGTACTTCAGTTTCCAACCACCCTCTCTCTCTCTCTCTCTCTCTCTCTCTCTCTCTCATCTATATATAATATATGTCCGGGCTTTGGTTCCATTTTTTTTTTTCGGTTGGGCGAGAAAAAACGAAAGAAAACAAAAGAAAACAATGGTACATGAGAAGCCAAGATACAAGGGGAGAAATAAATGAAGGAAAAATGCATCCAACCAATCGCTGCCGTCCACATAAATGGCATTAAAAATTAGCATCATTACAAGCTTACAACCACAACTACCACACTCTGATCAAAAAGATCAGGACCCTTTATCCTTTTGACCCATTTTCTTTCTCTTGGCATAACTCTTGACGTGAAAGTCAACGAAAAGAGCCAAAAGAGAGGCATTGAAGACCGCATTGAAGCACCAGCCCCAAATCCCGGAGCAACCCGACCCGGAGAAATGCAGGTACAGCATCCGACCCGACACCGCGAAGCTGAACAAAAACTGCACGATCTGGCAGTCCGTCACCACCCGCTTCCACTTGGGTCGGATCCCAACCGCGCACAGGAAATAGTATCCGTACATGAGCACGTGCACCGACGCGTTGGTCACGAGCGCCACCGGGAACAAGGACTGGCACGTGCGCAGCCACAGGTAGCACATGACCAGCACGGTCGCGTGGTGGTACACGTGGAGGAAGGTCAGCCGTTGGATGGAGCCACTCAGGATGATGAAGAGGGTGTCGAGGAATTCGAGGATTTTTGAGAGGTAGAAGATGTAGGCCCAGAAGAAGTGGGGCCCAGTTGGGGAAATGTGGGGTGGGAAGCAGAGGATCCAGTCTAGGCTTGGGGTGTCGGGGGAGAGGATCGAGAGGGTGCATCCAACGGCCATCATGAGGGAGAGGAGGAAGAGGAGGAGGTTGTGGACGGCTGTGATTGGTTTGAGGAGGGCAGGGTTGATGGGGGAGAGCGGGAGGCGGGTGAGGAGGAAGGTGAGAGAGAGGTAGGAGAGGAGAGAGAGAGTGAGGAAGAGCGCGGTGGAGGCTGGGGTTTGGCCTGGAGCCCATGAGAAGTGGAGGATGGATGGGTGGTTGACCAGCCAGAATTGGAGCGTTGACCAAATGGCGTTCATCGTACGCGCTGCCGTGAGTGAGTGGGAGTGAGTTCTGAGTTTGTAGTTGAGATGGGGAAATATGGGGTCTTCTGCTGAGTTAAGATAAGGTGAGGGAGTGGGAAACTCATTGGTATTGACGATGGCTATGTGCTACCAACCTTCTTTTTAGCCTTTTTTTTTGGATATTTTCTTATCTTTTGATGACACGTGTAATTTCTTTCACAGTTAAATCCACTGTCGAATTCAATGGTAATTATTATTATTAATTTTAGAATATTAACTTTGAAGAAAAACTTGTGTGAAACCGGAATGTTGTTCGTCTTTGTCCTTTTTAAGACATACTCAAACATGTAATTTAAGTCACAAAAGTCTCATGTACTACAAATGTTTTCTATGATATTAAAATTATCGTTTTGAAAATCCATTCAATAGCCTGTTTACAGTTAATATACAAAAATTTAGAATAAATCTTATATTCCAAGAAATTTGGCTCCTTGAGAAATTTATAAAATACAAATTTATAAATAAACCCAATCCTAGACATGTATTTATAAAAAAACCCAAGCACTATTTAAACATAGAAACACACCCAAAATCAACCACAAAATCAACAATTGTATATTTTTTGGGTGTGTTTATAAATGGGTTTTGAGTGTGTGTAATGATGGGTTTTGGGTGTGTTTATAAAGTATTTTGGGTGTTGGGTTTTTTTTATAATTTCAACCCCCATTTTGGGTGTTTTAGTGAAACTCCCTTTATAAAATGGGGTGTAGTGTTGTAGTTCTTTCAAATAAAGTGCTTTTATTGTATGATTGTATTGTGGCTAAAAAAAAATGAAAGCTTCAAATTTACTTAAATTTCAAGAGCAGCACAGTAGAACAATACACTTGGTTTGCGATCAAGAGAAGAGAAACTATAGAAAGAAAACAAATTAGAAATCTTCTCCTTATAATTTATATTCTTTAGACTTAGTTTTTTGTACGCTAAGTTGATTAAAAAGAGTATTAGTACTTTACTTTCCTTATTTTCATCTTTTCTGTGCACTTATAAGGTCTTTGACCGGAAATTGATTTTTAGGAGGAATTTTAGAGCAACGCCAATTGGAAAAGAAAACTAAGACATTGAATATCATTCTGTGAATTTTTGAGAATTTTCCATCAAGCCATTTGTTCTATAATTTCCAGTCAAGACAGCCTCCCGTCAAAACTGCACTGCTGTGGAGATTCAAGAGTTGGAGACTTTCCCGATTTTTTCAAGTGACGTGTGATACATGCCTGGAAAGCTAAGAGACAGAGCTACAATTCCCATATTTTTCCAGAATTTTTTTAGAAGGTTTAACAACCCCAAAACGTGCGTGGAAGTTAAATGTTAGCTTCCTTTTTTTGTCAGACAGTTTCCTTTAAGTTGTTTAGGGTTTTGTTTTGTTTTGGTAGGTTTTTCCAGACATTTTTTGAGTAAGTTTATGTTCTATTATACTATATAAGGCCAGCCTAAGCTCTCTATACTAGACGTCCTTACACAAGTGGAGATTGAAGAGAAGAAGAGAGCTTTAGACACGCCACCATTCGTTATTCCAGGTTCTATTATTTTCTTTCATGTATATATATTTCTTGTGACTACTGTTGATTCGTGCACTTATGAGTAATTTAATTTGGAATTTTTTAACGTTCTTTTTCAAATCTTCGGTAATCCACATCAAGAGCCTCCATGAAGCATATGACACGCTTGTGTTAGATATATATACCAGTGATTTATTGTCTAATTTCCATATTTAAAGATTAGAGGTATACAGAGCTATAATGATTTACTATTTAAGCTTCGCAAAAGAAGCATTAGAGGTTTATTATTTCCCAAGTGAGAAATCTATATAACCCTATTAGATATCTCTCATATTTCAAATTGGTTTTGTTTTCTATTTTTCTTTCCTTGGGATTTCATACTTTGAGTAGAATTCTTATTGCTCATTGAAGTTTTGATCTACACAGACGTTATTTTCTGAAGCCAAACAAGAACTAAGTTTTGAACCAAGTTTTTTTTTCTGTTCTTTCTGGTGTAGGTGTTTCAGCATCCCCATAGAACTCATTGTCGACATACTCTTAAGGCTACCCGTCGAATCTCTAATACGACGTGGTTGTGTGTGCAAGTCATTGCGTAGTCTCATCTTCGATCCTCGTTTTGTTATGACTCACCTCAACAACACAGTCACAGGCATCAACATGAACATGAACATCAACCTCTTGGTCTCACATAATGACTCTCTTCTTTCGATGTACTGCGAAGGATCCAAGGATGGAGATGGTAGTCATCTCGCAATCAAGAAGGTTGACCATCCTGCAGTAATGGACCCAGATGTGTGTTTGTGTATTTTGGGCTCTTGCAATGGCTTGGTATGTCTAGAAATCGGCGACGACAACTCCATTATTATATTATGGAACCCTTGTACTAGAGAAACCAAGGTGTTAGCACAACCTCCATATCATTTCCAAGACAAGATGTTTTACGGATTCGGTTATGATTCTTTAGCTGGAGATTACAAGATAATGTTGGCCACCGAGGGGCCTTCTGAAGTTATGATGAATGTCTTTTCACTAAAAAGGAATTCATGGAGGACTTATGAATATCTTGCTGATTTGAGAACGACTGATCAGCAGGGGTGCTTCTTAAAAGGAGCTCTTCATTGGATAACGTCTGGAACTATCACCTCTCTGGATTTAGCAGATGAGGAATTTAAGGAGATTGTGCCATTACCCTATTGTGGCAGCACGGATTATAGCTTCGAGGGAGTTACGAGTGCTCTAAATTGTCTTTGTCTGTATAATGACCCGACCGAAGACACAGATTTTTGCATATGGATTATGAAGGAATATGGTGTCAAGAAATCTTGGACTAGAGTCATAAAAATTTCATCAGAGATTTTGGCTCAACAGGTTTTCGTGGAAGTGGATGAACTTGAGCTGAAGGTTGTCTGCATTTTAGAGAATGGTGAAGTTTTGATGGATCATGAAGGAAAGGTCTTGGTATCATATAATCCCAAGACTAGGACATTTAGGAATATTATTAATGGTAAAGAAGATGATGAATTCCAAACAACTACTTACCTAGAGACTTTAGTTTCGCCGGTAACAGCAGCAGAGGGTGGTGGTGGTGCAAACAATCTGTGAACTCAGCCCAATTCCTTTTGCCCTTACTGTTTGTTTCTAGCTTGTTCCTTTTGTTTTCTGCTTCAAAGCCTTAACCTCAAATGTGTGTTGTGTATGCGAAACAATTTTACTTTCCATTCAATAAATAAATAAAACGCTGTAAATGGGGAGATATATGGAACTCTATCTTTTGCAATAATTAAGGCTCTGTGAATATCAATGTATGCAAGAAGACTTGCCGAAGTTGGACTATATACTTCAAAACATCAAAAACCATATTCCTTGTTCATTACAATCATAATTGTTCTCGACGAGTTTTCATACTTTTTAATCTTTGCATAACAACCTCATTAGCTATACTATTAAAAATGTGTTTCTCAATATATGCAACCAATAGCAATCATTCATCCATAAATCCCCCATTCGTAACGATTTTTCACAATATTCATAACAGAAAATACTCTCTCTACACATATATTCGTTTATGCTCTCTGTCTGTTTGAAGTAGTGTTGACCTGGTTGAAGTATCATTAGATCTTGGGAGAGGTCTCTAAACATGTTTGTTTCGAAATATCATTGAATGAAGTTACCCAAACAAACAAAGAACATGACCAGAATCTATGTCGAAACATGTTAACAAGATTATTATTAGGATGGAAGAAGACAGAGATGATGGATCATGGATCAGTCCACTACAGCCAAGCTTTGAAACTTGTCGCCAGAGATGGCCACTTCCATGACATGTTCAGGGCCAAATTCTCCATCGTTTTCCAGGAACAACTTGAGCAATTTGTTGGAGAAGCCAGTCAACACCGTCATGGTCCTTTATAAGGTATCGCCGGCTTATTCTTGTTGTACTCTGACAAATTCCAATGCACAAAGTGTGGCACCACATTCCCGTACCCCTTGTTCTCAAACTTGGACTTTATATTATTATAAATATACTTCCAGTCATGGACTTCCACAAAACGTTTAAAGCCAGGGTGATTGAACACAAACACCTTCTTGACCATCTGCTCTGGCTTCAAATTCCTCTTCACAGCCTCTTCAAGAATCAAATCAAACATTTCTCTAAAAGCAGTATGATTGCATGTTATCATCCTCCTCCTCACAAACTCATACTTGTACTAAGATCGTGGCCGCCTTGTATCAATTCTAGCTGAGGCGACTCTTCATGGTAATTGATCAACTTCCCTTTCCATGGCTCTTGACTCAGTTGAGAAACCAAGAGTCCCAAAGCAATCGACACTTCCACAGAGTCCTCACACATGAATTTCGGGTCGACGCCGCCGCATAGAACCAAAAGCAATTGTTGAGTATCATGTTATTGCCTTGCTTTTTTATGTCCTCCACCATTGCGTTCCACTGAAGCTCAGCCACCTTCCCGAAATCCCAGTGATGCACATAAGCTATGATCTGGTGTGAAGCAAAGCGTCGGCCCGAAGCTTGGACTTTTCTGCTTTCAAGCGCTCCAAATACGTCTTATGAGCAGGCGGCTCTATTGGATCACGATATTCGTATTGAGTGCCGCAGGCGTGAGCCAAGGGGGCCAAAACTTCAAAGAGCTGTGACCAAACTCTACCCTTGTAATCAGCTTCTTCAAGACCTTGGAATTCCGGGTCTGATTCTCGAGGGAAAAGCTTCACAGCAATGCTTCGGAACATCGAAATGGGGCACATGTTTGGGTAGTCAAAATAAGAATATCCGGCCATGCTTATATTCCGGCCGAAGAGATTATCCATACCAGGGTATATATCAGGATGCTTTAATTTCTGCCGCTTCAATTTTTCAATATCAGACTTGAGGTTCTCCACAAAAAAATCACAAACACTGTCGTATAACAACTTATAATGCTGGTCATGCTCGTACCTCTCAAGGAATTTCTGGCCTTCCAGAAGGAAGCACAGCATCTTTGCTAGGAAAATGAAATTGCCGTACACCTTCGTAAAAGGTGCCAAGTTAGATATGATTGTTGTGCCCTAACCAATGGGGGTTCTCTGTTGTGGTGGATCTTTTGTTTTGCCATAACAAAGTTCCATTTTGACGAGAAAAAATAGAATAAGTCGGACATAATTCACGCACAACTTTATGATATATATTATAATCTGAACCGTTAATTTTCCAGTAACATGGCAAACTAGCGCTGCTGTAATTACAAACAGCAAGAATTTTTAAGTCTTCTTCAAAAATGCACGTGTAGATAAAAGAATCGAAAGCTTCTAATTTACTAAAATTTCAAGATCAGCACAGTAGTACAATACACTTGGTTTGCGATCAAGAGGGAGAAACTATAGAAGGAAAAAAAATTAGAAATCTTCTCCTTATATCTTGTCATTCAGCAATCCTACGCAAGAGATGCCATAAATTTCTGCACAACACCTCCTTAGCTCCTCTTGTTTAGTGGTTGTATCTCCCTTGGCAACAAAATTGGACTCTGTTGATGATTACATTTGACTAAACTACGCTGAACTTGCAGTCACCTTCTTCCGGACAATCCTCTTTCTACGTGTCTTAGGGGTTGATGATTCCCCATCAGCAACGGAGTCAGCATTCCCCTGTTTGATGCCAAGGAGACCGAGCCCAGAAACAATGGCATTCTTCGAAATAAACCATTTTGAAGATGGCCGTTCAAGATTGTCAGAAGGCCTACTGTAAACCTTCAAAAGATCATCAGAGTCAACCAGTGGATCAGCCTCCACCCCAAGCCAAGCCAGCCTTGATCTCTCCCCTACTTGTACATTCAAAAGCCTGTGCACATTCCCAATTAAGAGTCAAAAGAATATATCTTAACAGTAGTCGACATATGTGCAGCAATTACCATTTAAAAGCAAGACCTAAGATTTTCTCAATAAAAAGAAAATCTCAGTAGGGTTTTTTTTAATAGAAAATAAAAAAGAAAAACCCAGTATAGTTAGACCAAGACGGCCTTGGTTTTATGACAGAACCATATCTCTGACATGCAGAGGTAACTACAAAAGTAAATGTCATGGGATGAAATCACACCACAACGCATTTCAAAGTTCAAACCAAGCAATTAATGTTTTGATGACAGCATATATTCGGATTTGGATCCGCCCACTAATTTTATTCAGATTTAGATATCTACAAATTCTTGAGAGAATCACAGAACCAAACAATCTCCGTTGCAACTTAAGTCTACCAAGTTTCTCACAACAGGGCAAAGTAAATAGGGACAGAAAGGCAGAATCCCTAAGGGAGTTGCAGTGGAAATAAGTTACAAATGATTGCCACGATTCTGCACTTGGAGGAAAGACATTGACTAGGTATATCCATACATGAGAATTCAACCAATTCCCATGCAAAGTAACATCAAAGCAACATATATAAAAGCACTATGCTGGCTCCACCAGGCACCAGTAAAGACAATGATGAGAGAACTGAAGCATTTTTCATTATGGATTTACACTTTTAGATTATTAAGGAAAACTATGGGAAAAAATATATGTTTTCAAAATATTAAATGCTTAGATTTAAGTGAATAATAAATGCATAAGGCCAGAGAAAATTGAGAAGGTAGTGGAAAGTAGCTAGCATTCATCAATACTTCAACAAAAAGGTTAACGGAAAACGGTAAGAATGTCATAAGCATGAAAGGACAACCCTCCCTAGCGCGGGGTTACATTTGTACAAGAAATTTAGCAGTGTAAGCTTTGAATGCAAGTCCCCACATATAATGAAAAGCATACCTTAGTGTCGTGCTTAGAAACAGTGCCACTCCAATAACATCAAAATGGTTCATCACAGCTCTGTCAAATCCGCATAACAGCTGATATCTCAGGTTCGCATAAAGTCCAAGGAATGCACCATAACCAAGTGCATTGGCTTTCACACTTGGGATCGTCACAGATAACCTGTTGAAAAGTTAAAAATTCAATATGAACTAAATTCTTCGAGCAAGCATAGGAACTACTAAATTAGTTCGACTAATAATAAACAACTGTCTTTTTTATAAGGGGAGGGAGGAGTGAAAATTAATCTCAAAGAAGTTGAAGCATTCTCCCTACTAATGTTTTCTTTGAGTGGAACCCTTTTACTATTCACAACAAAAACAAACCAAACTACGTCATTTAGTCTAAAAAGAAAAGATTACAGAATCAACAGAGTGTAAATTTTTTATTTTTGTTTTGGCCAAAGACATTCTACCAAATCGTAACTATCAAGTATGGAACAGTTATTGGTAAATGTAAAAAAACTAAACCAACCTATTATTACAGTAAAACTTCAATATCTCAAAGTAAAAAAATTGCTTGTATTTACATCATAGTTACAAAGTACGCTTAAACCACAAAAATTCAATTCCTATTGCTACGAACAGTATCCATTAATACTAAATTTAATGGTTAAGTAATACATGTAACAGAACTCAATTAAAAACACACATAAAAGTAATACACCTAAATTACTGCTGCAATAATATCACCTCATTACGGGGATGAGAACATCACTAAGAAAGATGCAAGAGTATGAAAGGAGAAAGGGGAAAGGAGGAGAGAAAGTTATAACAAATAATGATATTAATGGATAAGGATATGTAATCCAAATATACATTGCAAATAATCTATATAATAAAGCTATGAATAGCTTTAATGAAATAGCTTAGAACATCAAAGTATACTACGTATAACAAAGAAAGAAAACATACTCCAAACTAATAAGGTCATCAAATCATTAAAAAAATTAAATACTGAGATTTTTATTACAAGTTCACTTGTCATTCAATAAATTGGCAAAGAAACTTATTAAACGAAGTAACTTCTTTTTTGGTCTGATTAAACGAAGTAACTTTAACAAGCATATTATCAGTCCAGTGAACAGCTAACACCTATCTACACTTTCTTATAGAGTATAGACTTATTGTTTATTTAAAGTGGCTATGGAAAAGGAAAAACAATACAAACAAATGCAGAAAAGACGGGCAAATAAAAAGAATTAGCGATAAAGTCAACCAAAGAAAAAGTAATAGGGTTAAAGTGGTATAAATTATTTCATCAGAAATTGTACTGGTTAAGGAAAAAAACAAAACATAAAAATAGAAGGAGCAAAGACAGACAAACACAAAGTTTTAGGGTGTAAAAGTGGCATAAATTACTTTATCAGCAATTGGTAAAATTTTATCAAAGGGAATCAGTGTTCTATGAAGAAACGATAGGACTCATGGTTCTTTAACGGAAAAGTAAGACAAATTCCTACTTTGACTTCTTCTGCATTTCTAATATAAGCCCAATATAGATAACAAAAACATGTCAGCAATACACTGCTCACCTTCCCTCTTTTTTATGGGCCAAAAAATTTGATAAAGAACCTTGCACAGCTCCAGCTGTTAGTCCAACCATACACAACTCAGCAGCCTTGTAGAAGAACGAGTGAACTCTCTTTTGCAAGTCAAACTCCCTCAGTGGGTAGCTCTTCTCAAATATATTGTTGGGGAGCTTTTGTAACGTATTTTGCAAATCAAACTTGAATGTGTTCCCATATGAACGACAAGGAGCAAGTGACCAAACAACAATAGCATTGCATGCTGTTACTGTGAGCACATTTATAAGCGCCAAATCCCATTCTTGCTTTATCCTATTCTCAAAGTAAATAAACATCAATGAGTCCAACATTTAAAAGGCTTCGGAAAAAATTTGATGCTTCTGTCATAACATGAACACACCTGCCCTTACGATTCTTTAACTCCCACCAAACTGAGGAACCAATTGTTGCAGCCTGCTCTAAAAGAAACCTATATAAGAAAGCGGGATCTGCAAGCATTCTGCACAACAAATTATATTACACATCAAATTTAAGGAAACAAATCACCATTTTATGTTCATTAGAGAATTCAACGGACACCAAAACATAACCCTCATTCACTTGTAGAAAGCATTACAGGAAGGGAGGACATATAAAAGCATTGCCACTGAATTACGAAAATATATAAATTATTACATAATAAAATCAGTCAAGTTATGTTTTCTATTTATTTATCTATCCATGGCTCCTCGTCTTTTGTCGTTTCATATCTTATTTTTCAGACTTATTTACTAACTTCCTCTGTTGTCTCTTCATTTTTGTTGTGTTCCCAATCGTGGTCTTCTCAGGAAAAACTCTTGGTGGATTGGTGCATGTTTCAGTTTGCTTGCAAGTGTTCAACGAGAACCTTATTGAAACTGCTCTTTTGGTTACATTTGTATGCTGGGCTACTTAAATGTCGTTTGGTTGCTCCTTAATTAATAGTTGACCGTTGATTACGCATGTTGGGTCACTAAATTAGATTAAATTCAATTGTTTTGATTGTTCAAGTTAGAGTAGGAGTTTGTTGGTCCACTATATTTATGCCCGCAAATTTAAAAGTAAGAGGAGTCATAATGGGCTCTAAAAAAATAAATACAAGTTATTTGGACGAGATTTTTTGCAGGGATGCTAAGAAAAATGCAATCGATGATGGGAAATTTTTTCAGAGTTTTCTGAAATATATATATTTTTTTCAGGCCCATTGTGGAAGCACTTTATATCAAACTTAGAGTTTCAAAAAGACACATGATCGCTTCATGTTTTTGAGGCACATGATGCCATCAGATTTCCAGGCGTAGATGCCTAAGTTATTGAAGCAGACTGGTAATATATCTAGTTTTTACAAGGGTAAAAACCAAATCCAAAATCTAGACACTTCTGCTCAAAATGTGTGATAAATTTGCAAGGGAGTATTGACCATGTTGAAGATCATATACAAAGAAATTCAAGGTGGTATGACAAAGCATTTAAGGCAGCATAAGCACAAGTCCAGTTTACTTTTTCTTTTTTGTTTTGTGTTTTTAGTTTCTTTTATATTTTGAAGTGTGGAGAATAAAAAAATAATTAGGATTATGAGAACACCGGTTTCCTATGATAATAGCTAGTTCGCTTTGGTGATCAGCATTGGTCCTTATTAAATCCATTTAGGGTCATGATTTATGTAAGTAAAACCCTTTAAGAATTATGATTAATGTATTTCATCCTGTCGCTATTTCCTTAAACACCACCCAAAAAATATGATTTATTTCAACAATACAACAAGACAGTTCCCTACTTATATGGATCATAGAGAATTGATTTCTTAATAGCCTGCTAACTTCTACGCTATCAAGCATTGATGCCATCACAATGTCTTGAGGTATGCAAATAAAGTTTTTCTGCACATTTCTACTACCCCTTCCTACCATTAAACCAAAAAAACAAAAAAAAAAACAACTTTGTGTATGGAAACATTAGTCGGTACGACAGTGAGAATCTAACATGCCAACATTAATCAAACAAGGAAAAATGCTAAAGATATTATCACCTAGAACAGTCCAAAAGCTACTTATTGGCAAAAAGGATAAACTTGAGACTTAAGGAATAGCTCGAGAAATAAATAAACTTACCTGCCAATGAATGCCCTTGATATTCCATCAGGAAGTGCACGAGAAATAAACCTAGTAGTGGTTGGCCTGGCATTGGTTGCTAAGAATTTAACCATTTGAGCGGAGCTGATCAGTCCCTGGAGGCAATATTTCAGCTAATTAGCCAATAGTGTTTCTTTTTCTTTCTTTTTTTCTTTTTTTTTATAATTTGGGGGGATTTGTAGCAACTAGCTTAGAGATTTCAGACAAATGTGATATCAAAAGTACTGCACCATTTCATAAGCTTGCCGGAACCCAGCAGGTAAATCCATCATTGTCTTCTGCCACTCATTCAATACTGCATCTACAAATTTTCGATCAAACAGCTGGAAAAAATATCACAAAGCATCAGTACATCTATATATTACAAATTAACATCAGCAAAGAGAAAGAAAAAAAATTCAACAAATAAGCAATATTGTTTATGTGCATAAATTCCTAACCTCTTCAAGAAACATCCGTCTTCTGAACAGACCACCTTCATCACCCTCATCACCATCATCGAAGTCATCAAAATAATCATCATCATCACCATCATCGTCACCTCCATCACCACCACCATTATTTATCCTCTTTCCAATATCTCCGCCACCTCCCCCAATTGCAGTCTGCAATTTCAATTATTAGGATTTTCACAAAATACTGAACAGAATGAAAGGAAGTAAATGAAACATTCCAATTTATATGGCCAGAATTGCTTAATGAAAGCAGAGGCCAGAGTACTCAGACAATTGTCTAATGCAGTATCACATGAATGGTTAGAAAGAGTGTTCCATTTTGCAGACCTATGCCTTAGAACAACCATTATTAGGGTACAAAGATTAATTTGATGGTCAATACCAAGGACAAAAATATTGATGCCTTATAACTGTTTCTTTCTTTCTTTCTTTCTTTCTTTCTGTTGCATTCAAGAACTTTGACTTATTGCCTTAATTAAATTTCTTCTTTCCTTAGTTTATAACTATTATCATAATACTAATGGGTAGCTAATACGACATTTACATTGAAGTTTCAGATGTCAAAATTCCCCGGCAATTATTGAAAGTAATGAGCTAGATTGAAAGTTAAAAATTACAAAATTCAATATGAAAATATCACTCACACATACAGAAATTGGAATCTTGGCAGTCGGTGTAACTATTGGTGTAGTTGCAGAAAAGATAAGTATGGTTTATTCGTTGTCTATTCAGATTACTATATAATAGGTCATTCTTGATACTTCAATCCATACCTATTGATATTGAGAATATAAGATTAAAGTCTGTTATTAAAGTTCAAGTAAACATACATTTTGGTTCTGTTTTCTTTTCTCCTATGTTCTTTCTCGATTCTAAAGTATACATATACACTCAACTCCCTTCAAAAATTCTGCATAAATTTTTATGTCAGTTTCAGCATACATTCAATCTTTGCATCCAACTTAAATTTTTAATTAAAAAAACATTACAACCCATGAATTACAATATCATAAGAAATTAAAATAGAGCTAGTTCTTTTCTCAAAACCAAACAAACCACATGTTGGCAGATCACTGTTGGTGATATCTGTAGAGAACTCATCATAGTTAGCTTTCCTATGCATCCTCTATATCTTCTTTGAAGTAAAAAATTTAATAAATTTCTACTCTCATAATCAATACAGTGTGAAATCTAATGCATTTTCACACACAAGAATGACAAAGAAGATAAAAATTCTAACACTAAGGAAAAACCAGAATCCTGGAAGAATTGAATCATTTCAATCGATCAGTTAGCAACTTAGCACAACTTTAAGGATCCTATTTTCCCAAACCGTAAACATTGAAAGTTTCTTATATTGTACGCATGTGAAAATTGTAAATTAGCAAGGCGGCCATATTACACTAATGATTTTGATAAAATAACCTAAAAATGGAATCTTGTTTACGATATCCAAATTACTGCAGTCTCCAGCACCTAGGGGAAGCACTTTATCTATCTTTACTTCGTTAAACGCTCAATTCAGCTCAGTGTGCCACTCTCAGTTTCTTTTTGATTTCCCACAATTTCTCACTAACCAAACAACTCAATTAACTTGAGCAAACCAGAATAATCAAAATTTCATTGCCAAACAAAGAGAGAGACAGAGACTCAGACTGACCTCGGGGCTAGACTTGGATTGCTTCTGAGACATATCGAGCTTGCCCTTCTCAAGAGTAACCGCACCTAACGCACCATACTGTCCCTTCATAACCGGACCAAAACCGCCAGTGACGGATGGCCCCACAAAACACCTCTCCAACAAAGCCATGGAATCTCCATCCACAAAACCAGAGGTAGACGGAGCCGCGCAATTGGCCTTCAACACCAGACCTCTCCGCTCCGACATCCGAAGCTGGATGGGACCCATCAGCTTGGGCTTCGTCGGGAGCTGGGTGTTTATCGGCATGATTTGAGCCGTTTGGAACACTGCGTGCGACATTTTTTCTCTCTTTTTGATGTTTTTTTATTTCTGTTTGGATACTGAGAAAATCAAGTGATGATTTTCTCGTGAATTTTCTTGGCTCTCTCTCTGGAGAGAGAGAAGTGAAGAAACAAAGAGGGGGAGCAAGGGGTTGGGGGTATTGGGGGTTTTGAGAGGAAGATAGCCGACTAAACGACGACAACCCAATCCGAAAGCGAAGTTCCTTTTTTCTTTTTCTTTTCTTTCGGTTTTTTGGGTTTTTTCCTAGACCAGGTGAGTTGACTAGGACTTTTGGATGAGTCGACTCGGCCGGCCCGGTTTGCGTGGGAATTTAGTTGTCTACTTGTCATTGCAACATTGTTCAAGTCGCGCACCAAATCCACTACAAAATGAATTTCACGACCAATAAAAGGTAGGGAAATTAGCGGTTTTGACCCTGGCTCCAGTAAATATTGCTCAAATGACCCCTTTTCTTAAAACTTTGTAAAATGATCTCTATAAGAGCATGTCCACCCCCGCACCAAACCTGGGCAAAAGGCCCCCCCTGGCAGCCCATTCCTGCCTCCAGCGTGCAACAATGAGCCCGGGCAAGGCCTAAGAGCATCTCCAGCGCAAAGCCCAGCCCGGGGGAAAGGCTGCCAGAGGGAGCCCAAGGCAGCTCCAGCGCAGGGCCCGTAGCCCGGTTTGGTGGTGGGTCCCACGTGCCCGAGCAAGCCCAAGGGCAAGTCTTGCCCGGGCTGAAGCCCGAGTTGGCTGACGTCAGCGCACAGTTTTTGATTCTGAAATTTTTTTTTAAAATACCAAAAAATTCTGTATTTTTTCCCTATAAATACCTAACCATTTTATTCACTTTCTACACCAAATCTTCATAAAAACTCATCTCCTTCCAATATTTTTCACTTTCCACATCAAAATCTTGGCAACGAGGTAAAAAAAAAAAAAAAAAAATCCGTTTTATTCAATTTAATGTCTTTTTTTATATATATATTTCTTGCATTTCCAATTTTTTTTTTTAATAGATTAGTCAAGGCAAAACCAAAAATGTTATTCGAAAAATTTTATCCAAAAATTTTATTTGAAAATTTTATTCGAAAAATGTTATCTTAAATTTTAAATGAAAATTTTATAATAAATAGTGACACGTGACAACCGAAAATATAATCTAAAAAGCTTATCAAAATTAATAGTTTAAAGTATAAACAAATAGGAAATAAAGTACAATGAATAGTAATTGCCTTAGACTTGCCCTAGACTTTGCCCTCATGGGTGGAACCACAAATGCAAAGGCTGACACTATTCACATGAATAGTGGCAGCCCTTGCTTGCCCTTGCCTTAGACTTAGCCCTTGTGGGTGGAGATGCTCTAAGTCCCACCAGCCTAGGCAAGCCCACGGGCTAATCCTACCTGGGATGTTGCCCTCAGGCTGCTGACGTCAGTAGCTGATTTTCAAATTTATTGTTGGACCTACCAGCCCACATTGCCCAATGGTTACAAGCCATGTGGCTTCTCCTGGAGCCTCCGATCAAAAAATCTTGCACAATCCAACGGTTGCCCAATTTTTGGCTAAAAAAAATATCAAAAAAATTTTAAAAAAATATCAAAAAATTATGGAAAATTTTTCTATACATACCTACCAATATTATTCACTTTCCACACCAATTTAATTTCAAAATTTTGTTTGAAAATGTTATCTTCATTTTTAGGTGAGGATTTTACGATAAATTTTAACACTTGGGAATTGAAAATCTTATCCCGAAAGCTTATCAAAATCAATAGTTTAAGTATAAAAAATAACAAATAAATTTAAGTGAATAGTAATTGCCTTAGACTTGCCCTAGACTCATGGGTGTAACCACAAATGGCAAGGCTAACACTATTCACGTGAATAGTGGCAGCTCTTGCCCTAGACTTAGCCCTTATGGTTAGAGATGCCCTAAATACATCATATCTCACCCCTATCATCTTTTTCTCACTTTTATGTTTCTCCCCTCTCTCTCTCTCTCTCTCTCCTCTCCTCTCTCTCTCTCTCTCTCTCTCTATGGTGTCTCTCAAGATCACTCTTTCCAGGGTGTCTTCCTTAATTGCACAACAGATTATTCATCAAGGTTAAGATACGAAATCTCATTTTTCTCTCTCCTTCTAACTCTAATTTCAAATAAATGTTGTGGTTAAATGTTTGTAAGAAAAGGATTTATATACCCCTAATTTAAGTTAGGGTTTCAAAGAAATAGATTTTTATAGTGTAATTTGGTCATTATTATCGTTATAATATAAGTTATTTTAATGTTCCAAACCTTGTGAGATTTATGTTTATCCAACAAAACTTTTACGAGATCTCATTTCAGTCACTCTTGAATCGTTGCCGTTGGTAGGGTTTTGTTTACTTTGAAAAAAAAATTTCGAAATGCACTTGTTGGAAAATTGCAATCGTCGATGGAGAACTCGTTGATCATTGTTGTTGCCATCATCGTTTTGTTGTTGTCCTTGTAAAATGACTAACCAACTCTTATAGTTAACAAAAAAATTGGATGGAAGTGTAAAAACTTGACAATATGTGCTAAATTGACCATTTAAAATAGTCCCGCGGGTTGAATCAGTAAAATATATATATATATATATATATATATTCAAGGTGTGAAGTTTGACAGTCGAAATGGTTCAATGTGCTTTTTGGCAGTTTACCCTAAACTTAAAAGATAACTCAGGAGTTGTGAGCTGGATATCTTAATACAAAAGAGATTGGTTAAGTTCAGCGTTGATTAAGTCTTTTTTTGAGAGAAAAGTTGTGTGTTTTGGGAGCTACGTTCTGCTAGTATATATACCTCTTGGTTGTTGAATCCGCACGCTTGGTGAAAGGATGGTTGAGTTTGCTATCAGTCCTTTCTTCCAAGCTTGAGCTTCTATTTGGGTAAACGCGCCTCTACTTGGGTAAAGGCATTTTTGAAATGTGGGCAACAGCTTTTAAAAAGTCAAGCTATTGGGCTATTTCGACTTGGTTAGAGCAACAACACCCATTTGCCCCTTGCCATGGCAAGGGGGGCTAGGGCAAGCACTATTCACATGAATAGTGGTTGCCCTTGCAAATAGTATTGTGTGTTTCCACCCGTTGCCATGGCAAAGGGCAATTACTATTCATTTTTTGTTTTTTTCACAATTTTTTTTACCTTAATAATTAATTTGGATAATATGTTTGGATAAGATTTTTGGGTTCATACATGTCAATACTATTCATATCTCATAATCGGATAAAATTTTTGGATAAGATTTTTGGTTTCAAATTTCAAATTTTCGGATAAGATATCATGCTCCATGCCCCTCCGTTTTCAATAGAAGAAGCCATAATATGATAGAGAAAAATAAAACTTGAAAGTGAAAAAAAATATTGAGTAGAAAGTGAATAATAGTAGAAGGAGAAGAAAATATATGAGGATTTGGTGTTAAAAGTGAAGAGTATTTGTTGGTATTTATATAAGAAAAAAAATTCAGTAATTTTTTTGGTATTTTTTAAAAATTTTTTTCGATTTTTTGTCATTTTTTTATTGCACAAAAATTGGCTGCCGTTGGATTGGAGAAAAAAATATGATCGGAGAGCCCAGAGTGCGACACGTGGACTATAGCGTTGCAGCACTGTAGTCTGTAGCGCACTGTAACACTGTAGCTTGTTGACATCAGCACCAAAACTCAGGCTGGAGCTCGGGCCAGACTTGCCCTCGGGCCAGCCCAGGTTGTTAGGTCCCACCTTGCGCCCGAGCTTCAGTTTGTAGATGGAAACAGCTTTTTGGCCCAAATCCCCCCAGAGAGAGGCTTGGGCTCCTCGCTGGAGTTGCTCTTAATGACGATCTATTTATGTATATGTCTTCAACATTTACAGTGTGTTAAAAGTACAGCACGAAATTTAAAAGTACAAATGAATTCATAAATGATGGAATTTAATGTTTTAGAATTTGTAAGTTTCTTTTTTGGTTAACAAATTTAAACACGAAATTTAACGTTTATTTGTAAAGTTATTTGTTTTTAATTCTCAATCTCTTTGGGAATTTTAGAAATGATGACTATTTAAAGAGAATCTAAAGTTGGGAATTATGACCTTTAAATTTCATGTTTTTTTCCAAACAGAATTTCTGAATTTCTTTATTTTGTTCTCTAAACGTGAGAATTGATTTATGTCAATTTAAAAATTCTAATTTTTGTCAAAATCTCATGTCTATTTCCCTCGTCCAAATCAATCAATGACTAATTAAACGCTATGACTTTGCATCACATTTGAATCATCCTTTGCTTTGTCAAGATGAGAAGAAGAGAGAGTAGAGATAGAGAGAAAGTGATGAAGAAAAGAAAGCAGAAAACCAAACCACAGTTTTCGAAAAAGGAATCTCCAACTGTACCACCCAAAGCCATCCTTTTCTCTCCTTTGACCTCTTCATGCACGAAACCCACGTGTATAAATAAACCTTCCCTCTTCTTATTTCTTTCAAAGACAAACCAAAACCTATTCAAATTGTAACCAATGTCACTGCAGGCTCATCGTCCTCGTGTTATCGTCAACGGAATAAGACGAATGAGAACCTTCCGTTACTTTTGGTGCCAACATTGCCAACGTACTATAAGGATTGCGTCTTCCAACCCATATGCAATTCTATGCCCATTTTGCTCAACTGAGTTCAATCATGAGCTTGATATACTAAGCCCTAGGCTTGTCAATGATCACCTTACACCGTCCCCAGCTGCCCAGTTATTGCAAACCTTGTCGCTCATCCTCGATCCAATGCACCAAAGAGCTCGAGAGCAAACAGAAAACGAAGATCATGGACGGTCTTGGATCACCCTCCAATTTGATAGACCACCTCGCTCATCGCCGAGACAAATTGTTCCCCCTCTGGTTCCTCTAGCAAATAATAGCGAAGATATGGTAAATGATGTCACTGGGGGCACCTGGACAGTTGAAAATGACCGCCCAGGTCCCCCTCCAGCACCTGCTTCAGCCATTCGAGCTTTGCCCTTGGTGAAAGTCACGGAAGGGCAGGTGATGAACGATCCCACTTGCCCCGTGTGCAAGGAAGTGTTTGCGGTTGGTGGGGAAGTGAGGGAGATGCCATGCAAGCATCTCTACCATTCTGATTGCATACTCCCATGGCTTCACATACACAACACTTGTCCAGTTTGCCGCTATGAGCTGCAAGAAGAAGGCACTTCTTGTGACAACAATAACAATGAGTTCGAGGATTATAGTGATGAAAATAATCTCGTAGAAAACATAAATTGGTGGTGGAATCAATTCCTATGCTTGTGGCCATTTCGCGCATTGGTTAATTGGTGGCAACGTTACCTTGATAACCAACAAGGTAATTAACATTCTAACACCTGCACATATTTGATATAATGATTACGAGTTGTAGCTTTTTCTTTGGGAACTTTTGTCGAACAGATCGTGATCTTTTGCAGACAGAACCTGGTGGACCTCTTGGATCTTTCTATAGCCAGCTTAGAGGTAAAAACATATTGCACAAACTTGTGAATATTACTTGCTTTTCAAGCACTCAATGTAAAGAAGATATTAAAGTTCAACAGGTATGATTCTGTGTGACTATATATTATTCTCTCTTTAACCTATAATTTAATGTGTAGAAATGTTAATAGTTAACTATTTCGCTTGTTGCAGTTTCTTTTTAGGACAAATTCTGCACTTTGAAGCACTTCCTAATTTAATTTTATGGGATTTCTTTATCAAAGAATTGCAATGGTTCGATACAAATAAAAATAAATAAAAAATTTGAGGAATTGTGTTGGTTCCGACCTCAAACAGAATTGTACATGAATAAAAGAATGGCATCTCTTGCCTCATTTATAAATTGTTTCTATGTCTATCTGTTTTTCCTTTATTTTATTTTATTTTATTTTGTTTTACACTTTTAATCTGAATCTTATGCAAACCCAAAAAGAATGGCATTTTGTTGACATCACTTTTATATTTTGGGTTTTGGATATTTTGGTTAAAATATTGAGAAAAAAAAAAACCAAATATATTATAACCATGATCATTTTCTTCTATGTCGCTAACTTTCATTAGAGGCAAATGTATTATCTAACTTGTCATCACCACCATCTCATTTCTTATTCCCTCTATATATTTTATTTTGAAAATTTTATATTTTAAACTAATCTAATATATGATAAGAGAATATCGAACTCGAGTTCAAAGGGATGGACACACTGCCTTAATCAATTAACCTAACCTACTTTTTCTTTCTCGCTCTATATATCTTCAATAAAAAATAAAAACCAAGAATAAAAAACAAAACAAAATTAATAAAAACAAATAAAAAATAAAAATGTTATCAAATGGTAGTTAATGTAATTTTGAGAAGCGGTTTTGATCGAGGATTTTAATTTTTTTTTTTTTTTTTTTTTTTTTTTTTTTTTTTTTTTTGTTTTTTGTGGGGTTCGATAGATAATTTTGAATGTTTGGCTAATGGGTAAACAGAGCCTTTTGGACCAAAGAGGAAACTGGCTTATTACAAACAGAGCCTCTCTCTGCCTTTGCCCTCTTTTCCATTTTCATGGTTTGATGGTTAGGTAATAGCAATAATGATAAGATCATTTGAGCTTCAGGGGCAGTGGTTCCCATTACCCAAAGTGGGTCCAACTCCAACCCCCATTCATCACATCACCACCGCCGCTTCTCTCCGCCTGGGCCACCATCTCGCCCATCACCAATTCCGCCTTGATTCTCTTTTTCGTTCCTACTTTCAGGTATCATTTCATTCAATTTTCTTCAGTTTCTATGGTGCCCTTGAGGATTAAATGTCTTAATTTGATGTAAATGGGTAATATAAAAGATGGGTTTTTGTTATTTTTGGTTTATGGGTTTTCCATCTCTTGTTTGTTGTGAAATCAGAAGCTTGCTCATCTTAGTCCCCTGCATAGATTGAAGAAAGGAATTAATTTTCTGCCATTGTCAAGTCATGCTTCACCTTGCTTTAGTTTCTTTAATGGGGGAGAAACTAGCAATGACTCCACAAATGAAGGGACGTCTAACTCTAAGGTGTCCAGTATAAACTTCTTCAATGGGAGGCAATGGACTAATGTCCTCCTTGCTCTTAATATCTTGTAAGTTCCATTTCATCACCTTTCCAAAACAAAGGATGTGATATGAAGTTTATTATGAACATAATCCAATAAGAAATTTGTTTTTCCATTTGATACTTGAATACATGTGCCTTATTTTTGACCTTTTTTGAATTGAATCCAGCAATCCACTGTACAACTTATTGTTTGTTAAATCGCGTGAACAGAGTTTACATTGCACAAATTGCAACACAAGATGAGTTACTCCTATGGGGAGCCAAGGTAGATGGCAAAACAAAATGTGGGTACATATTATTTTCAGTATTGAAACAGGCACTAAGTGGATTTTTTTTCCCATTGTTTTGATATATCCGTAGATAAATAGGCTCATCGACAAAGGGCAATTGTGGAGGCTGGTCACATCTTCTTTTTTACATGCAAATGTTGGGCACCTAATGGTATGCTTTGAATCTTATGGCGTGGCATTCTAATGTCTGCATTTCAATCTGATTTCGTCTGTTTCTGCGTATGTTTTCAGGTTAATTGTTATTCTTTAAATTCCGTTGGTCCTACCATGGAGAAGATCAGTGGTCCTAATAGATATCTTGCACTCTACTTCGCCTCTGCAATTGCAAGTAACAGCTTTATGATCTATCTACAATAGCCAATAAAAATTGCTTAGGGACTAGTATTCTGATTCAGTGGTTTCGAGAAAATCAGGTTCAGCGATGAGTTATTGGTTCAGTGAGGCACCTGCAGTTGGTGCATCAGGGGCAGTCTTTGGATTAGTAAGACATTTTATCATTTTTCCTTAGCCGGACTCTTTTTCTGGATTTCCTAGATGCACCATATAACCTGCCAGATAATCTTGGTTTAATTCATTTATGGCAATATAGTAGAGGAATCCAGTAAAATCAGGTTCATTGTCATGCAGTCACACAAACAAAGTTGATATTCCTGCAATTATTACCTTGTTGTTTATTTTTTCCCCTTTTCTTATTCATCTGTCTTCAGAAGATTTAATGTTTTCCTTTTCCTGTATTTCACCATTTAATATATAGCTTCATCTTTTACAGTTTTCATGAAATTTGTCAGCTGCAAACTTATTAAATTTGTTTCAAAATAAACCTCTGCAACTTCTGAATATCATTTTACAGGATTTCCTCCGCCAAAAGAGAAACAATAAGTATAAATGAAAAAGAAACATTTCTGTGAGTGTCACGCTGCTTTGAGAAAAGGAAGATTAGTTCATATCTTTATATATTGAAATTTAAAAATCTGCCTATGTACCTACTCAGTGTTATGGAATGCCAAGTGAATCTTCTTTCAAGTTATTCTGGCATGGTATTGCTCTTTCTCATCTCCTATAATTAATCAAACCGCTGGCTCTGATCTTTGATTTAGGTTGGATCTCTTGCTGTCTTCGTCATGAGGCATAGAGGTCTGGTTGGACGTGGCAAAGAAGATCTACAGCACATAGCACATGTAATTGCCGTAAATATGGTATGTTCCTTCTCTGGTTACTATGTCTTTAAGTTTTGGCCAACTCAGTCCTTTATCTATCTTAATAACTTAATCAGCTCCCCTTCCAATTTATGTTGGCTGGATAAATGGATAAATAAACATAACTTTTTGTTTTTGTTTTTGTTTTTGCAGGCTATGGGGTTTTTCTTCAAAGGCATTGATAACTGGGGACATGTAAGTAGAACAAGAATGCTTGCTCTCTTTTTCACTCCTAATTAATGCTTTGTTTAGAAATTAGGAGCGTTGAATTTCAATGAACCTCCTTCACTGTGTATCCCTTGATTAATTTTTGACAATGGACAAAGAAAATTGGCTAATTAGTGTGTGAGTGTGTGTGTGTATCTCTCTCTTCCCTATCCCCGCTCCCTCCCCACACTATACATGCACATGTGGCTAATTAGGGTTGTGGAACATTTGGACCTCATTTTTTTCTCTTTCAACTTTCAGTTGCATTTGAATTCTGAGTCCCATGGTAAAGCACAATCTTTAATTTTCGTGCCAAGGATTGAGTTTCTTGATTACTTCTTTTCTGCTATTTTTAGATTAGCCATAAAACTGTAACAAAATGTGAAGAGTCTCTATGGATAGCGTTGTATTGGTGAAATAATCATTTGAGGCAACCTATCTGGATCTGTTAGACGAATTGAAACACACGAGCTTGCATATGGTTCCTTCCATGTCTGCACTAAAATTCCTTCTTGTTTGTGTTATCCTCATCTTTGTTTTGAGTGTGACATTTGAATCTCAGTTTGGAGGCTTGCTTGGTGGAGTTGCCACATCATGGCTTCTAGGTCCTGCATGGAAGTACGAATCTCCCTCCAGTGATGGTCGAAGAATCTTTTCTGACAAGGCTCCTATTTTCTACCTCATCAACGCAAAGAAGAGATCCTAGACTTTTTATTCCTATGGAAGCATATTGCCTTCCCTAAACTTTTTGTGATCAGCAGACTTTGTAGGGAAGCAGAGCCCTTAGCCCTAATTTACTTTGGTAGGCTGTATCATCCAAGTGTAATGTTGTTTCTCACTATAAAGAAGATTTAAATTACTTTGACCTCTTTTTTTAAGTTAAGGTGTTGCAAATTTAAAAGTTCACCTCAAATTAGGCAGAGCATCCACGTTCTAAGTCACACAATATCCTGCTGCAAACGAAAACTTTTTGGGTGTGGCCACTTGACTATTGTAACATTTGCTGTTATATTTACTTATGTTAAATAATTTTGTGAACTTAAAAATTATTTTTAATTTCCTTCTATATTTTAAAAATAGTTTCAATTATTTAAAAATCCTATAAAATTATTTTAGTATTCTAAAAATGAATTTTAGCCTCCAAACCCTTAATCCAAGCCTCAAAACTTAATCGTAAACCCACTGTAGGACTCGATTAGGCTTTGATAGTCACATAACTTTCACCTAGGGCTTTACGATTAAAGTTTCGATCTCAATCTTGAGTTAGTACGACGTAACCAGACCTAACATAGACTTGTGTCGGCGAATTTAATGTTTCCTCAACAAAATAAATTCAGAAGTTTCTTGGAAAATTTGCAGCCATTAGTTCTTTTAGATTTCAACTACTCTTTCTTGCGCACTTGTCTCTCTCTCTCTCTCTCTCTCTCTCTCATGATCTTGACCACATTTCAACAGTAATTTTTGAGCCAAAACTCACCAATCTCTCTTTCGCAACTTCATTCCGGCCATGCCAAAAATTATAGAAGACAAAGAGAGTGGAGACGATTGATCGGGATCATTAGTTACAAGTTTAGGCTCGAGTGGGATTGAATCTCTAAGAGAAATTAAAGACAACCCAATACATGATCTGATCTGCAACTAATAAGAAATCAGAGGGCATCCATTATTAATGTCAATCGACAAGCAGGGGAACCCTATGAGGGTTCATCAAATGCATATTTACTTGAGTTAAACATTACAGTCAATTTGACGAGAATTAAATTGCGGGATGTCTCAAAGGAGAATACATCTTCAAGCATCTACCTTTGCTGCCGCAGATGCATAACTTACGCAGCTATCCCTCATAGTTTTGCACTGACTCGACTGCTCATACCAGAGAAAATTGATCTTTACGCTCGTTGAACAGTTCTTCAGCATCTGAACGCATTGAAATATGATTGAAAGGCATGAAATAATGATCAAAACCAATATTCCAGATGCAGTTAACTGAAGAATTGGAGTCGAAGTTATGAGCAATGAAAAATAAAAAACCATTTTGCAGTCGCTAAAAAAATTTATTCTCCCTCACATTTTTCCTCTCAACCTGATTTGATGTCTTCACATTTTTCCTAGCTTGATGTATTTGCAAAGATACCAGACCCGCCAGGAAAAAGGAAATCCAAAAAATAATACGCCATTCAAGTTTTCTAAAAATCGGCCGCCTAGGCGGGCTAGGCGGCTCCTTGTTTTATTATTATTTATAAATAGTATAGCCGGGCGGCTAAACTCTTTAAATAATATATTTAACACGTATAGCCGAGCGGCTGTACTCCTCAAATAACATATTTACACGGTATATCCGTGCGGCCGTACTTCAAGTATAGGTCTTCAAACATTCAACGTAGTTTCAGCAATGAACGAACGATAATCCGCAATGTTTGACAGCAGTAGTGTGAAATCACTTCAAAAGCCTCAAGACATGGATTCATACCATTAGCATCTTACCGGCTCTTAATTCATTGATATAGAGAACCGGAAAATAATCACTTAAAAATTGATACGTAAGTACTTACAAATGCAGTTGCCTTCCCCTTGCTGTTTCGATAGCCTCTGGATCTGCAAAATGTAATCAAACAAGAGAACACTACTCAAAGTTTATTCCAAAGAAAGCTTAATCATTTTGACAAGGAAACTCACGCTAAATTGTAAACAAGACTGCATCCCTTGGAGCATGAAGAGCTACATGAAGCACTGATCTATTTTCTGTGCTGTTTATGAGAAGGCACCACCCAGAAAAAGAAAAACAGAATGCAAAAGGATCACATGACAATGGTTTCAGAAATAAGCTGGTCTCATGATCTTCACCATAAATCCTATAAAGCTATCAAATATAAGTTTTTGTGATTTCAGACAGTTAAAGGTCAGAAATTTGGGCATCTAGGAGACACCAACTAGCTATTGTTCTACTGGTACTTCTCTCTACTTTGTTGGAAGAGGTCCCAAATTTTAATCGCTTCCCCCATATCAGATAAACTTGAAACGTACATGCTCTCCACCAAACATTCGGTTAATCTTTTCTTTGAGGGATGCAGCCTGCATTGTGGCATAGACAACAACATTAATTAGAAAACACTATATTCACCCAATCCTTCCCCCACCTCTGCCAATTTCCAAGGTTTCAGGCGTGGCACGTTGCCGTGAGTAGTCCAACACTATCCCGTCAAACTCACTAAGTGTTATGTTTGTTTTAGGAAAACCTGAACTGAATCTCAACCAGCGATTCAGCTTGGAGGAATTGAGATGAGGGACTCGTATAAGGACTCGCAGAAGGCGAGTAAGGGGAACCATTAGGTGCATAACTAGGAGGAACAGTAGGGTTAAGATGAGAAGTTGGTGAGGAGCTTGGAGGAATTCCAGAACCGCGGTATGGACATGGACGAGGATGTGGAGGTACCTTGGATGGTGCTGGGGGGAGATGATTACTTTCAGGTGATGGCGTGCTGGAGAGTGAACTGGAGAAGCAGGATATGGAGAAATTGTTGGCTCTGGAGACAGAGCGGGAGGAGGAGTAGGAGGAGGACCCCTAAGATAAGAAGATAAACTGATACTTTTGATAAGAAGTTATAAAGCCGGAAAAAAAGAAATTAAAAAAAAAACACACGCCATTCAAGTTTTCGAAAAATGGGCCGCCTAGGCGGGCTAGGCGGGTTCTTTTTTTTTATTTTTAATAAATAGTCTAGCCAAACGGCTATACCTTTTAAATATAAAAACAATAGTATAGCCGCGCGGCTATACTATTTCTCATAAAAAAAATAAAAACCGAGTATAGCCGATCGGCTATACTATTTCTTTCAAAAAAATTTAAAAACAGAGTACTACCGCTCGGCTATACTATTTCTTAAAAAAAAAACTGAGTTTAGCCGCTGCCATACTATTTCTTTTAAGGAAATTAGCAAAACCGATATAGCCTATTTCTTTTATTTTTTTTAAAAAGGGCAAAACCGAGTCTAGCCATGCTAGCTATACTATTTGTTTTTGGTTTACACTTGTTTTAAAAAAAAAAAAAAAAACAAAAAAAAAAAAAAGCTTTGGGGTTAACCCGAATGGATGGTGGCCGTTAATTATTCAACAAAAAATATGTTATGTCCTTTGAGTCACATATCTTCTTCCTAAATTCCTTACCCAAAAAAAAAGAAAAAGAAAATAAAGAAGTACTTGTATCAATGTTTTGAAAAGCAAGGCGTTGAAACAAAGTATCTTATATCTCGCAAAACGAGGCATAAACCTTTTGAACATTCAATTATTAAAAATAAAAATATATTAGTGTGTTAATAATATGTAAAACATATGATCCATATATATTGTGAGGTCATTGACTCATAAATTGAAACAATTCAAGCCTCTCTTAGATTGATTTAGACAGTCATTGATTGGATATGAAGTCAAATTTATAAGATAGGCTTCACATCTTGTTTGAATAGATTGAAGGAGAGGCTCTCGTTAGAAATTGGTGGGTGGTTGGATGGCTGAGAGCTAGTCAAAGGGGGAGAGAGAACATAAAACAAAAGGCACTAATTAATTTAATAAATTTTTATTGTGAAGGAATGGCGGAAGCGGGACCTGAGGCTTATGTTATGTTCTTAAAATTAACAAGACGCTGGTGTTTGGCATGACTCTTTAAACACGACAACTGTACCATACGGCAACGCAACGCCTCTGCAAAAAGTGATTGTGTGATGAGGGGCTCTATTCCCGGGTAGCACACTGAGGCAAGCGAAATCTTGGTCTGTGTGGGGAAGTAACCCCCCAATCAAATTCTCATATATTTCTGGTTTGGTTGCTACCCAACTTCACCACTAATGCCAAGGTGAACAGCCAAAGACCACTATGTCTCACACCTACGAAGGTTTCCATAGCAACCAATCACTTTAAAGCCCTGCTTAGTTACAAGGCCATGCTACTAGGCTCGGCAATTTGAAGTGTTATGTAAGTCCCTATAACCTTTGTGTGGTCACTTGTTTTACCGATGTGGGACTCTGTATCATCAAGAAACTAGAAATCTGCTCCAAACTCTTTAAAAAATTTGTCAATAACTCTCTCATAGCCGCTCCTTCTTGCTTCCCCTCTCTATTTCATCGTTTTATGTTCCTAGCCCTAGGGCAGCAGCCATCGTCATTGCCACGAGCCAACACTACCAGCAGCTGCCATCGCCACCATCCAAAGTAAGTAGCAACGATGTCTCTTTACATTGATTTTGAATGTAAGTTCTGATGATGGGCTTCTGTAATGAAAATTAATAAATTATACAAGACCACACAAAAGAAAGTTATAAAGAGAATGGGCGGTGCCTGTACTTATTTTATTCGGAAATATTTGCACAAGCTATAAATTGTTACTTAGCTTCTACAGAACACTCATGTGCTTAAGTTTGGCGGTGCCTATAGTTTTCTGTTTTATGCTTGTTCAGCAAAGATTGCACAAGTATTTCCTTTGAGGGTAGTATGTTTGATTAGGAGCAATGTAAAGCTTTCCTGCACAAGAATGATTGTCTTGTTTTGGTGCCGCTTTTGTGATGGTGGTGATTACACAATATAGCATGGCTCCCACGACTTCTTAGAGCTCCATACTATGTTTTAGTTTTGAATGATGGTAGGTTTGCATGAATCTTGGTTTAAATGGTTCAGAGTATATAGATTTTTGTTTGTGAAGTTTTGTCATCATTTAGTAAATGTCACATGATTAGGTTGAACTCAAGAAAATATTTATTAATTAGGATTTGATACGAGTAATAAGGTAAAAAAAATGAAGGAAAAACCGAAGTATAGCCGCGCGGATGTATTATTGATAAATCAAAGGGGGACGATAGAGACTCGGGTAATGGCCTAATACTATTAGTCATCTAGATTAATCGGAATGACATCCTCCAAATTCTCAGGCGAGGGTGTCTCAGGAAAGAATTCTTCATTTGGATACAACTTCTGGAAAAGCTGTCAAGTGCAAACATTGACACCAAATTTCGTAAGGGTTAACATCTAGGGATATATAATAACAAAAAGTTAAGCTTAATGAAACCACACAAGATGTCAGTAAAGAGATAATAATACACATATAAAGAATTTAGTATTTTTCCGTTTAATATTTGTATTATACACGTAAGTAAACTTAATGCTTACCAAGGGTAGTTTCTGGATTTAACCCTGTAATATTTCTGGCAACATCAATAGGATCAACGTTTGCAAGACTGCACACAGGGTAAAACAAATTATTAAAACACCCTTCGACCAGAATCGTCCATCCTCTGATAAAAATACGCATATAATCCTTTAACGCGCACCCAACTACCAAGACTTGAACCAAATATTTACACAGAATGCATCTAACATAGTCCCTGAATCCTGAATATGGGCTATGTTTCTTCAACCACCACAACTCCAATCAACACACAGAATACAGATTGCTTTCAAATATAAACAAAAAGAAAATTTGAAACCATAAGCACTTAAAAATCGATACGTAAGTACTTACAAAATGTAATCAAACCAGTGAACACTACCCAAAGTTTATACCAAAGAAATCTTAATCATTTTCACAAGGAAACTCACACTAAATAGTAAACAAGACTGCAAAATATATGCATGGAAAGAATCATCTAAACCTGTTTGAAGAGGACCTAAGAAGCTGCCACCGATACCAACAGCAATGACATCCTTCAGGATCACCCCCATTGCTCTCCAAGTGTTCCTGTTGCAGAAAGTAGGATCAGATGAGGCTTCATATATATGCCTAGTAATTGAAACAAAAATTAAAACCAAAATATATGCATGGTAAAACTAAACTGAATCTCAACCAATGATTCAGCAATTTCTTGGCCGAAGATGAGGGTTTTTCCTCTTCTACAGCAGCTGTATTATCTTGCATCTCTCTGGGAGTTTTGATTTACTCTTTTTGCTCATCTTATGGATCCAAAAGCTGCATTTCACCCATATTACATTACTGAGAATTGAAAAAAATGTATTATCCACATAATACTCGACCGAAGGAAGATAAACTTGAAACGTACATGCTCTCCACCAAACATTCGGTTAATCTTTTCTTTGAGGGATGCAGCCTGCATTGTGGCATAGACAACATTAATTAGAAAACACTATATTCACCCAATCCTTCTCCCCCCCACCCCACAACACAAAAAGACACTAGTTACGAATGGGCCAACCCCACCTCTGCCAATTTCCAAGGTTTCAGGCGTGGCACGTTGCCATGAGTAGTCCAACAGTATCCTCTCAAACTCACTATTAAGTGTTATGTTTGTTTCAGGTAAACCTGAACTGAATCTCAACCAATGATTCAGCAATTTCTTGGCCGAAAATGAGGGGTTTTCCTCTTCTACAGCAGCTGTATTATCTTGCATCTCTCTGGGAGTTTTTGATTTACTCTTTTTGCCCATCTTATGGATCCAAAAGGTGCATTTCACCCAGATTACATTACTCAGAATTGACAAAAAATGTATTTGCAGAGATGCCTGAACCCGCCAGGAAAAAAGAAATCCAAAAAAAAAAACACCATTCAAGTTTTCGAAAAATCGGCCGCCTAGGTGGGCTAAGCGTGTTCTTTTTTAAAGAGTATAGCCGCGCGGCTGTACGTTTTAAAGAATCTATTCAAAGGGTATAGCCGAGCGGCAGTACTTCTTAAACAATATATTTAAAGAGTATAGGAGAAAATTGACTGACTCGACTGCTCATATAGGAGAAAATTGATGTTTATGCTCGTTGAACAAAGTGTTCATATACTTGAAGAAGTGCTTGCAGTGCACTAACCCGAGAGAAGATGAAATCCATTCCCTAAGGGTTCAAACATTCAACATAGTTTCAGCCGTTGTAAAGGTCTTTGAAACTACCACAACTGCAAATATCAGAAATGGAATACTGCCACTCCTTATGGGCAATGTTAGTGGATTTTTACAGAATGCATCTGATCCCTTAACCCAACTTCCAAGACTACAACCAAATATTTACACAGAGAATGCATCTAACATAGTCTCTGAATATGGCCTATGTTTCTTCAACCACCACAACTACAACCAAACACACAGAATACAGATTGCTTTCAAAAATAAAAAAACAAAGGAAATTTGAAAGCATAAGCAAAAGCATGCCATGTCCTAAAATCCTATGTGCCGTATCAAATACAAAATGCTTCTCTACATGTCTTTAACAGATGAATGCATCCCTCCTTCAAGAACTATGCCACTGAAATAAACTCATGAACACAATCTCATTGTTCCAATCAGGTAGGTCCTAAAATGAAGGAGCTAAAAGAAAGTTAATCCGCAATGTTTGACAGCAGTAGTGGGAAATCACTTCAAAAGCCTCAAGACATGGATTCATACCATTAGCATCCTACCGGCTCTTAATTCATTGATATAGACAACTGGAAAATAATCACTTAAAAATTGATACGTAAGTACTTACAAATGCAGTTGCCTTCCCCTTGCTGTTTCGATAGCCTCTGGATCTGCAAAATGTAATCAAACCAGTGTTCCAAAGAAATCTTAATCATTTTCACAAGGAAACTCACACTAAATAGTAAACAAGACTGCAAAATATATGCATGGAAAGAATCATCTAAACCTGTTTGAAAAGGACCTGAGAAGCTGCCACCGATACCGACAGCTATATTATCTTGCATCACTTTGGGAGTTTTTGATTTTCTCTTTTTGCCCATCTTATGGTACTGAGAATTGACAAAATGTATTTGCAGAGATGCCAGACCCGCCAGTAAAAAAGAAATCTGAAAAAACCAAACGCCATTCAAGTTTTCAACAAATCGGCCGCCTAGGCGGGCTAGGCGGTTCCTGCTTTTTATTTTATAAATAGTATAGCCGGGCGGCTATACTATATTCAAGTTTCATAATTGCAATAGACCCGCCAGGCAGGCTAGGTGGTTCCTTTTTTTTATTTTATATTTTATAAAAATAAAAAATTAATTAATTGTTATAAATATTTAAGTTTCATAATTGCAATTCTCTCTGAAGGTACTCTATCTTTCAGAAAAAGAAAAATAAATAATTCAATATGAGGTCTCTCAATTCTGAGACTGATTTATAGTTTTTCTCTGCCTATGCATTGGGAGCATATCAACATGGGAATATCTAATATTTAAGTTTCAAATTTCGCCATTAAAATGTTTTGGTAGGTTCTCATTATATCAAGGCTGTTCTACACAAATGGAGGTGATGCCATTTGGTGTTAGCATCAAATGGCATTCATTTTCTCTGGAAATGGCCACAGGACCTTAATTCTAGTGGAGTGGTAAAGAATGACATGCTTTATAATTCTTTCCTATTAGATTTCTCCTCTCTTTCCTTTCAAATTGAAACCGAAGCGACAGTCATTTGATTCTAATGATATTGATTGAACGCAGGCAACTCCCAAGGTTCACCCTAATTTATGGAAACCAAGAAGTGGCTTCGAGCTGATGAACAATGACCTTCCCAGCACCAACCCTGAAGACTCTATTGATTTGTCCAAGAATGAAAAATATCTTATATCAGCAACAGGAGGGGTGATCTCCATTTTTGACATGACAACATTTAAGGTAAACCCAACACATAATATTCTTGAAATTTTCTTTTCCCAGCCAAAACTTCCCAAATCTTGTTTGTCAATACGCGTAGGTTCTGTTTGCAAATTTTTCATGCTCTAACTCATTGTACTCATAAAAATCTGTTGCGTAAAAACGCATACGATGAGGAAAGTCAGGCCACCGCCACCTGCAGCAACATGTCTTGCTTTTCACTCCCGAGATGATGGTATAGTTGCTATTGGCATGGACAATTCCACCATTGTAATATACAATCTCCACTCAGACAAGGAAATTTGTTTGTTCTTGTAATAAAACAAATCATGCTCGATGTTGTGATGAAGCAAACCCGAAAAGTTTGTCATTGCCTTGATTTAAATATTTTGCAGGTTACAAGGAAGCTTGAGGGTCACTCCAAAAGAGTCACTAGCCTTGCCTTCTCGAACACTCTGAATGTACTAGTTTCTTCTGGTGCTGATGCATATTGGAAACTACAATATTACTTTCAGACATCGCTTCCACTCTAATGTGACTTCTGTTATTTAACGACGTCGTTTTGGCCCTGCAGATTTTTGTGTGGGAAAAACAGAGAAGCAAATTGTTGCAGATTCCAGATGGGAAGGAGTTGAGATCATTGTCAGATACTTACATCCAAATTCACCAGAATGAGCTGCATCTCCTTGCCATAAACAAGACTCACCTTGCAGTATATGAAGTCAAAGCTCTAGCATGTGTTTAGGAGGAGGGGAGGCTACCCCATCCCAAGGCCTCTTTGGGGAACCATTTGGCTTTTTAATTCTTCACATCGGGATTAAAAACAAAAGGCACCCAAAAAGGGATCAGGCCACTCAATGATTCACCATGAATTTTTTTTTTTCATACAAAGATGTAGTCACCGCCCCTTCACAAGTATATGTTACTAACCTATACAAATTGTGTATCAATTTTTACTTTGCCTTGCATTGCAAATGCTCAAAAAGATCCTGCATATTTTACAATTGATTTCAAGAAAGATAAGGTTCTTTTTGAAAATTCTGCAAGCTAAGTATTCTTCAACTGGTCACACTATCTCTAGGAGGTTTTCCCTTTGGAATGACCTTCCGGTAGTTGCAACATCACAAATGTAAAACAGAGATGATAGGCCTGCCACCTTTTTGGCTCTGACCTGCCACCTTTTTCGCTTTTATATGTGTTGTTGCATAAGGAACCTGTTGTGTCAAACTTTTCACATGGACACTCTACCATCCTCGCCAAAACAAAACTAAGCATGGCACATCATTGTGCTGTGGTGGTTTTGTGTGCCTTGCAAATTCTCCTTTGCATAGAGAAAACGAACCATGAACGTAACCAACAGAGAGGATAAAAGATCAAGAGTCCTGAAAATTCCAAGAAACGGATCTCCTTGTAGAAAGGTCCTACTGCTGAAGCTGCAAAATGCATACATCATGTGATTAATAACTTGCATATCAGATGTAGATATCAAACAATTTGGCATGCAAAGCAAGGCAAAAAGTAAATGAAATCAGCAAAAGACAATGTCCATGGATGCATCTAACAAAACATTAGCTTATTTGTTTTGGTTGTCAAATGGCTGCAGTATTCCTAAGTTATTACATACATTTGGCTCTTTACAGATCAGGTCAGTATTAAAATTCCATTACTGATTTCAGTTCATCATCATATCACATTAGTCCCACCAGTTTTAACTCAAAGTTTATTCTCAAGTCTCCATTAAGGTTGCACCAACTATCAGTTTGTATATTTGTTTATCCAAAAGGATCCCAAAATCTGCTTCAAATATTTGAATATGAACTGTATGCCATACGACTAATTGCATTGAAAAGCCAATCAAAGGATTTAGAAGAAATAACCAGATTCAAAATTAAATCTTGCTAAACCTCAAACAGTATTTCTTTGGTCTATAGGATTAACTTCTCGTAACTGGCATTAGTAAAGCGGGGCAATTTCTACTCTTATCAAACTCATGAGATCAGAAGTCACATAAACTGACTACCAACACCTCAACTACAGAGGGACCTATTTTCAATTAAGAAAAACCTATATTGCCAAAAGACAAAATTTTGAATAAAGATGCTTAATATTTTATTGACACAGCAAAGAATCATAATTTCTTATAAACTCTAACGCTATTTTGAGATGGTCTGAAACTTTTACTTTGGAATTCAACAAATTAGTGACTTCAATTGATTCAAACAACTAGATAATCCTAAGTTATCCAAATTTCAATATTAATGAGAAAAGGAATGATGTGAAGGATTTTCTTTCGTTTTTTCATGTCAGTAGGTTGTTGTCTGGAATATGGAAACACTGCAAACTGAAAGCACACCAGAGGGCACTCCTTGATAATTACTGATGTTCGATTTAGACCAAATTCAACTCAGTTGGCAACTTCTTCATTTGACACAAGGACCTGTCTCTTTTGACTTCTGCTTTCATTATTTTATAGCTTCTACTTCTGTAAAAATGCTCCCCGATTTGCTTCAATTATATTTAATATTTCTTAGGATGTCTAGAAATAGAAACATATCCCTGGCATGAGACTAGCTTTCTTTCTTTACTGATAGGACCCATAAATTGCCTTCAGCAGGAAAGCTGAAAGGTGATCAACTTAAAAACAGCTGCAAACATGCAACAAGCTAGGCAGTATACACTTTCAGTAAGCATAAGCAAACATTCTGCACAGCATATCTCACGTTAATTCCTTTAAAAACTAGACAAAACAACAACTATATAACAAAAGCTCATCCTAAGAACAACAAACACCACACACACACAGAGCAAATATCAAATTCCAAGAGACTGAATAAG